CCTGTTCTGGGGATGGAATGTGAGTTTTTGTTTGCGCTTCGGTTTGCCTGAAAACGATACAAGCTGCTGTTCTGTATAGATATGCAGTTTCTTTATGTTTCTGATTGCTTTAAGTCTCGCAGAGATTTGCAGTACATAGTAAGCATGTTGTTATACCCTGCCAGAGCCGCGGCTTAGGTTGTCACATAGCCCAACAATGGGAGGACTCTACTTTTGGGTTTGCAAAATGAAACCGGACATACCTATTCTTGGCTGTAAGTTTCAATGTCTACTCTCCACGCGGTGGCTCATGAATCAGTCTTCACTGGCTGGCTTTATTCCATGGCCATGGTGTTTACTGGCATTGCCGGAAATTTGACGTAAGTTTCGTTCGCATCATATAGTCCGCGGCCTGCGAATTGTCATCTAGTGTTGCTTTATACCTTGCATCGATGGCAGAGGTTGGACAAGGAAGGACTTTGACGAGAGTAGAAATCACCGCGATCGCATGGGCCATGAACATATTCTCTGGCATCGTCAACACCATCGGAACGAAGGCTATAGGACACATGAGCATGTTTAATGTCTGGTGGACGCTAGGCGGGACGTTTGTGCTGACCATTACTCTGCTTGTGAAAGCGCCTGTGAAGGTAAAGTTCTCACAATCTGCACGGCGAACTTTCTGCAAGCGAAACCTGATCTTGTATAATAGAACTCTCCTGACTTCGTGTTCACGAATTTTCAAAAGTAAGCTTTTGCTTACTTTGCAAAGGACGAAATTAGTGACTGGCAGACTAGCTTCACCGGTTGGGAATCTAGAGGCTTTGTCGTGCTCCTTGGGTTTCTTCAGGTCAGGTTTCATTATGTATGCATGACGTACAATGTGACTCAAAACGCTGCCGTGCTGTAGGCTGTATACACGCTCGAGGGATGTGAAACAGCAGCTCAAGTAGCAGAAGAAGCTGTACGCGCAGAAATCCTGGCCCCACTCGCTGTGGCAGGCAGTATTGCAGGCTCTTGGTTAATCGGTCTCGCGTACATGCTTTCACTTCTTTTCGCAGTCCAGAACATCGCGTCCGTTCAGGCCACCACGTACGCCATCCCGATTTCTCAACTCTTTTACGATGCTGTCGGGCCCCAGTTGGCGCAACTGTGTCTAGTTGTGGTGATGGTTTCCCAGGTGATGGCTGCGATTACAAATTTTACTGCAAGCTCGAGGCTGTTCTATGCGCTCGCAAGAGATAATGCGTTCCCGTTGAAAAAACAATTTATGACCTTGAACCGATTCCAAGCACCATACTGGGGTGTATGGACCAGCGTCTTGATAGGATGCATTATATCGTGTGCCTACATCGGGTCTGCAGTTGCAGTCAGTCGACCCAGTTTCTTCAGATGCTTTGTTCTGATAACAATTTCGCATTCAGTTTGACGCCATGTTATCATCAGCAGCCATATCAGTGATGTTGAGCTACTTGCAACCCATCATTATTCGCGTGTTCTGGCCTGACTCGTTCGTTGTTGAAAATCATGTATCCGAGCCTCGTTTAACTTATGTGTTGGATCTAGCATTGAAGACTTCGGACCTTTTTGCCTCGGAAAATGGTCATGGCCAGTGAACTTCGCAAGTTTTTCGGTGCGTACCTCCCTCATTTATCACACATAGTCATTGATTATCTGTGTAGTTCTGCGTTTTTGTCTGCATTTTATTCGTCCTACCTACGGCATACCCAGCGAACGTTCTCAACATGAACTACTCAATTGTTGCTGTGGGCGGTCTTTTGGTCATAATCACGATCAATTGGTTTTGGTGGGGAAAACATAGCTTTAAAGGTCCTGTTAAAACATTTACGTTTAAATGATATCACGAGTGCCGGAGCTGGCCCGGCGATACGACTTTTCAAATGAGAGAAACAGATTCATCCGCATGAAACATTGAAAGTATATTACATGCGCTGCTTGCTGACAAGGTGTCCAGGACCAGGTGGGTCTTGACGCAGGGTTTGTTCATAATTTGGACATCATAAAATAACTCGGGGTCATTCCTACAACAAATGCAACGAAGAATCAATGAATCAAGAATCAAGATCATGATCTAACACCAAAGGCTAGTGAACGTCGAGCCCCTGATTGGTGATTGGTGCGTAAGTCACGTGCAGGTGCCAGTTCGAAGTCCTTACTAGTTCATCGTAACTTGACAAGTATATCAACACTTATCGGACGGTCTGGACTCTCATGCTCTGTAACTCTAAGCTGTCCGACGGGCGAGGGTGTTCTGCGGACTGTAGTCGAATAGTGTGTGGTATCGACGTAGGTGAGTTGCATGTTTGTTATTTTTCAAACCCTTTCACGCCTGCAGCTTTATATACCCTGAAACCACATCAATACACTATTGGCTCAAATACTATCTAGTGCGAGCGGACATGTCGCCCTCGCATATACACAATTTAATCGAAACGTCAAGACTGTTGGAATTAATCTAACACCGAAACGATCTCACCCGTAGCAGCACCAACCGATTCATCAACCGATCAAACGCGCGCAGTTTCCCACCACCTAGTCGTATCTACCTTGCAGCCAAACTTCACCAACTGACCTCCTAGGACCTATACACGGGGTCATGTATTCCTTGGATTTGCTCCTCTAGCACGCGGGGAGTGTAGGAGGCTTTGGATGAAACGGCTGTGTTTGCGGATTATGTATGGGAGGGATCGTTGGGAATTCTTGAAGCTGGCTCATGCGAGATAGTAATGTTACTATTGCACACACATCTCAAGCTATGCAGGTACCGACCACCCATTGGCGTCCTTGTACCTAACATTGCCCGAACGCCGATGCATCAAGTTCATGTTGAATCAATGATAAATGTACCATAGTGCGTTGTGCATCGGTTTCAATCAAAATTGCACTGCCCTTATCCATATCTTTAGCGTCCTTGTGATATTGTGGCCCGGTGAGCAGGGCAGAAGAGAGCGAACGAGTGCACATGCATGAGACGACGACATAACGGTGAATGAGGAGAGCACATAAGGCGGTGTTACCAAGCAGTCCGGGTTGGGACATCAATGCATCAATGCATCATGCATCATGTGAGAGACCTGATTGCTTCGTCTAGATCTCCTGTATTTTTGGTGGCTGACTTTTGTTAGGTCATGCATACTATGAGATCGCTAAAAGTTGTTGGATCTTTTGCGACGTTCGGGTGGTGTATAAACTACTTTTCAGTTTCACTGACTGAGTCCAGTGGATATAACTTGGACCTAATGCTTCGGCCAACCATGACAGGAAGCAGGTGTAATCCCCACAATGCCCATCTCGGCCTTCAAAGCGCGGGATGGTGTACATCTTGGCACGAACACCATCATCAAACGTCCACCAAGTCCGCGAGCGAAGCTCGCATCCATCCTTCAATTATAAGCTGGTCAAGGCAAGGTATGCACGATTAAAGGTGTTTGCGATGGATGAGATCTCGACTTGGACATATACGTAATAAGGATCATCTACTGGTATATGTATGCCCAACTGTCTGCAGACTAATATCAGCTCCTCCCATTAGGGTATCTTCCGTCCACTCCACATCTGGTTCAGCACCCATACCCATCCATCCTTGACCACTTCGGGCACACGTCATCCCCGTCCTCCAACAATCCGACGTTCTGATGCGCCAATGTGTCAGACGAGAATGATGTTGAACTACACAACATCTAGAAAGCACGTACCGCATACTCGCAGGTCACTTCGTCGCCCGACTTATCCACGTAGCTGCCAGCCCATCAGTCACTTTGCTCGAAGATGTGTGATTGTGACGTACTCGCAAACTGTGTACCCGTTGTCGGACCTCACGTATTCACTGACTAGCTTGTAGATCGCCACACCGTCGACCTCCAAAGTTTCTTCACATGTTGCACATCCCGCGTTGGCGCCAGCGAGGAAGGCAAACAGCGCAAGGATAGTGAAGCGAGCAGTGAACATCATGGAGCTTGTTGCAGTGGATGGTACAAACCTAAAACGTGCAGGTATTTTATAGGCTGAGATTACTGGGCCCGACGCAATTCGCGAGGCTTTTGCTTCGCGAACCTAGACACGGAGATGTCATAATGTAACCCGCCTCAGGCTATTCGGTGTAACTTGCTTCGCTGCTGAAATTTGGGTTTCCTCTGACCTGAGTGATGCTGTGATGTGTGTACATTCCGAAATATATCGGCTCTCTATCAGATCTTCCAGAAAACTACTGGCATGCTACCATTGGACTGACGTTATCTAGTATTGTAATAACTTGAAGGCTCGCGTGAGACTGATTTAGATGGGCCCATGTGCACTTATTCATTGTATGTAGAATTGATGTTCAAGTTTCCACAGAGAGCCTTTCGACCGTTCACATTGTAATTGCTATGTTCATCCACAACTACGATCATTATCCGAGTCGTTCACAGACTATTAAACGGTTCCATCGACCCATGACGGTATGTACATAACGTCGGGCTTCTTCCCCTGTGCATGTTTCACGACCAATGCTTTTCAAGCCACGTCGTTTGCGTTAGTGCTGAAGAGTTAACTACCTCGCAAAATAATGTATACTCAAGTGCTATTACTTAGCAGGCAGCTTTGCATTGACTGGTGTCACAGTGTGTTGTATATCAGTCTGCAGTACTTACGAAAATTTGGGCTCGCTACTTTACTACATCTTAATTTGTCGAAGACTAGCCTCTAGCTAGGTGACGTATTACAAAATGTCACACGACTCGTACTGCAGACTCACACACAGTGTAGCTGAAGCGACAGGCTTTTCGATGCTGAAAAGCCGAAGTTGCGGCTTACAATTGCATCTACTGGTTTTGCTCTCACTGACATGGTTGGAGATGAGTCTTCTCGGTTTCTCTCGGTACTTCAGGTTGGTTTCCTGACTTACGAAACTGCTAGTGATCGGGGACGATCCAGTCAGGCCGGCTGCCGATCAGTAAACCGGTGAGCGTAAAATGCACTTTCCTCTACATGACGTTATAAAACAATATCCATAAAGCCTAGGAAATCGAAGCATCGGGCTCACAAAATGCTACAATATCCGAGTCTACTAATACTATCTGGTTTACTGATTAGTAGCATCATGAGAGTTGACGCGTTGACGTTGAAGTCGACTAGTATTGCTCGGCTATTAACACCATCATCAAACGTCCACCAAGTCCGCGAGCAAGCTCGCATCCATCCTTCAATTATAAGCTGGTCAAGGCAAGGTATGCACGATGAAAGGTATTTGCGATGGATGAGATCTCGACTTGGACATATACACCATCTACTGGTATATGTATGCCCAACTGTCTGCAGACTAATATCGCTCCTCCCGTTGGGTATCTTGTCCCCTTTCCAGTCCACATCTGGTTCAGCACCCATACCCATCTATCCTTGAAAACTTCGGGCACACATCATCCCCGTCCTGCAACAAGGCGAGGTTCTAATGTGCCAATGTGTCAGACGAGAACGATGAACTACACAACATCTAGAAAGCACGTACCGCATACTCGCAGGTCACTTCGTCGCCCGACTTATCCACGTAGCTACCGGCCCATCAGTCACTTTGCTCGAAGATTTGTGTTTGTGACGTACTCGCAAACTGTATACCCGTTCTCGGACCTCACATATTCACTGACTAGCGTGTAGGTCGCCACACCGTCGACCTCCAAAGTTTGTTGACATGTTGCACATCCCGCGTTGGCGCCAGCGAGGAAGGTGAGCAGCGCAAGAATAGTGAAGCGAGCAGTGAACATCATGGAGCTTGTTGCAGTGAATGGTGCAGTGAATGGTGCAAGTCTATAACGTGCAGGTATTTTATAGGCTGAACTTACTGGGCCCGACGTGCTTTCGCTTCGCCTCGGCTTCAAATGCGACCCTAGACACGGAGATGTTATAATGAACACATTCCGAAATATATCGGCTCTCTATCAGATCTTTCAGAAACTACTGGCATGCTACCATTGGACTGTCATTGTAACAACTTGAAGGCTCGCGTGAGACTGATTTGGATGTCAACTGATGGGCCCATGTGCACTTATTTATTGTATGTAGAATTGATGTTTGAAATTTCCGCAGAGAGCCTTTTGACCGTTCACATATTACTTATGTTCATTTACAACTACTATACGATCATTATCGTTCACAGACTATTAAGCGGTTCCGTCGATCCATGACGGTATGTACATAACGTCGGGCTTCTTCCCCTGTGCATGTTTCACGACCAGTGCATTTCAAATCACGTCGTTCGCGTTAGTGCTGATAGGCCAACTACCTCGCAAAATAATGTATACCCAAGTGCTATTACTTGGCAGGCAGCTTTGCATTGACTGGTATTACAGTGTGTTGCATATCAGTCCGCAGTACGAGTTTTCAAAATTTGGGTTCGCTACTTTTACGTCTTAATTTGTCGAAGTGTAGAGCTACATGACGTTATAAACCAATATCCATAAAGCAATATAAGTAATGTAAAGCTAATTTGTACAGGAAAGAAGCATCAGGCTTACAAAATACTATCTGAGTGACCGAGTCTCACTACCAAGTTTACTGATTAGTAGCCATCATGGGAGTTGACGTGGACGCGTTAGCGTTTAAGAGAGACTCTGGCACGAATGTGACAGAACAGCGCAGAATAGGCATCCGTGAGGCCGGTGAACTTCAACTAAGTTACAAAGAATATGGACCCTCACACCTGGGAGCTTATGGTTTATGGTTTATGCTTACAATCCCCTCGGTTTGCAGATTACGTGGGTCACAACGTTCGTACTCGTGGTGTACGAGTGGAAACAGCTATTCCACCCACCTTTCAGATCTGAGTTGACGTCACCGGAGCTCAAGCAATTACTGGCGGACTTCGCCGCACTCCTCGATATATAATCAGTTTATTACTCTCACCTGGTTGGGCTAGCTATGCGATCCGCCACGGAGTGTATTGGAAGGCCCATCGGCCACACTGGCCTTGCAGTGGCAGCACTCCAGGTTGGTATATAAATCATGTTTAAAAGGTAAGTAGGAGCAAACTGGAATAGAATCCTCTGTCCCTCTCACAAGACGACCCGCACAGCGGCAATCACATAAGAATAAGGACGGGGCTGGGTTCCTAGTGCAATCCATAGAAATCAGAAAGAAAGGAGCATGGCAATGATGATAGTTGGCACTGGACAGAAGGAACGGATACAAGTGTGCTGAAGGCATGTGGTACAGAATATGATCTGATAAGTGGCCCAGGTCGAAGCCTAGTCGTACTGAGCCTGTGGCAGTCCTCTGTTTATCTAAGATGCTCCAGGTTTGGCCTAACAACTTGGGAAGATCCCTTGGGTACCTAGCGAGAACAGCATCCAATATGTGGGACAGTCTTCAGTTACATCGACGAGGGACTCACCAGGATAAAACCAAAACGTTACAATCAAAATCATGTACAAGCCTAGAGAGCGCCTTGAGTGCGAAACGCACCCAAAAATACCACAGAAACTTACACATGAGGATCATCCCTTCCAACCAATTTGACTTGCCGTCCTGCACGATGTAATTGACAGTGAGGACTGTTTTCCCCTTCCGATTAGTACGTTCTCCCGCATCAACGCATCAACGAACCGGAAAGGAACAATACGATGGACTCTAGCGGGTCAAAGAGAAGTGTCAATGGCTTATCCATAATCCAACCAAGTGTCACGATGAATCTGAAACCATTTGAGTAAATACTACGTAGAAGCGGACAAGAGCATAGCGTACGGAATCACAAAGAGCGCAATTTGCTGAAAATGGTGATTCGCCATAGAAGTCTTGTCTGCAGGAGTGAACTCACAATGCTCGCACCCACAGTAACGCTCAAGCTTAAAGTTAGTTTATCCTTGACGGACACCGTAACTGCAGTGGCATGTTCCGCTGCATTACTGACGATTGGAAGCAAAATAAGACCAACGAACTCCTTGTTGATCGACCCAGATGAAGTCAAGCCATCAATTGAGTCAACGAGGAACTCTGCAGTAACAGCAACCAACTAAAGCGAAAATTTTGAGAACTTCGTGTGACCATCACGGCAAGCACGTACCACAGTTACAACAACCAAAAGCAAAAGGCACACAGCAAGGCTCATCAGTGGTTGCTCAGGAGCCTCAGCCTCTACTGATGTGGAATGGATCCCAGGTTCCACGTCAGGGTCGGCATCTGCGGGGCGGGATAACGTTGTGGATGCCTCTCCATCTTGTGCCGAACTCGGGGAAGACGCTGTTTCACCATCCTTGATATTCTTACGTGTCCTGAGCAATTGGAATGGATTCTCGCCCGTGTAGCCCTTGGTTTGTTGCACATCTTCATTGTCATCGTCGTAGAGGGCTTTGTGCGATAATAACTGGAAAACCAGATAAGATGCGTAGACTGGGTGATTCAAGTGGGTTGGGTTAACTGCCAAGAAATCGTTTTGTTGACCTACTGAAAAGGAGAATAATTGCAACCTATATGAAGAACGTAAGACCAAACATATCACGAGTAGTAATTCACGCACGCCATGACTAGTTTTCAATATGTTGTAATCAGTTGACAATTCGTCATATTGTGGTTGGCCCTGCAGAGCCATATGAAAAGCCCCAGGTAACAGAACAGCAATCACGCTGATGGTGAGTAATGATGAATTAAGTTGCACAGCACCTAAGTCACAGACGCAGGCATCAACAGTCGGGTCCAACTTGAAACAAGCAACCACATACTTTGACCAAATCCCTGTTCCGAGAAGCGGAGGCCACCGGCAAAGAAGCACATGCCCAGTACCAATACTACAGTACATAACAATCGAGTTCGTCACAATAAGCTTAAACACTTACAGATATCGCTCAGGATAGAGCCCACCACTATAGGAAATAAACGTGTCGGGTCAAGGGAAGCTGCAAAAGAGTAAAAGCCGTGGGTCACATACAGGACGACTGGACGATTGTAAGCTGGCACTTTGCGAGCGCGATAATCTGAAATGGGTGAATTGGTCATCATATAAGTTGCTAGAGGCTAGCTCGACGTACTGATACGATGAGCTCGACGCTGGACGCAAGAAGGAAACAAGATGAGAAAGTGATCAACTGAGCAAAAAATTACTGACACATTTCCCTATAAGTCGTCAAATTTCAGCGAGATAGAGGACCAATACACGAACCACTAACTAATGTGGCATTGAGAAGACCAGCTAGAGTTTGACCGACTCGTAGTGACAGTTCATCAGTCGCGAAGGCAAGAAGCTGCGAGAACATTAAACCTGAACATTGGCGAAAAATGAATTTATGTTACCTTGGCCAGTGGTATGATAGCCAGAAATGCAACTAGAACGATATGTGAGGTAGGTTACTGAAGGTCGAATCGGGTACTTACAAACAAATATAAGAGTGTGCTGATCGGGTAGAGCAAAGTTCACAGCCCACTTTCGAACGCCATGGGTTAGATGGTCCAAGCTAAGACAAAAGTAACATACGGATATCGGGATAAATATCAACAAGACGTTTAGCCCTAGAAGACAGGATCAATGCAATCCATTGATTGTAAGAAAGTCATTTCACATGAAACAAGAACAATTGCTTGAATGCTCCTCCACACAGTGGGTGCTTTGGCTATCGGTTTTTTCGGTTGCAACATTACAGTTACGGCTCTTTTGATATTAGCCAGCCAACTGAAGGGCTGTTTGCTGCCTGCAGTACTTATGCGTGGTCGATTGGCAGAGGTGGATGGTCTTTGGGTAAACGAGAACGTTTCCTCTACAGCATTAGGCACACGAACGCTACTTGTAGTGGAATGAACTATTTCTGAGGGTCCATCACGTAGGGAACCTGTCCGTGATGGCGAGGACGATGAGCAAAATTTACGACTGTGATGACTCCTGAACGTACCCATGGTACACAGCGATGGCAGCAGGGGGGCAGTCATTGAAATGCTGCTTCGGCGTTGGAAAAGCTTTTAACTATGTAAGACGTACGTGCTCGTGCGCGGCACTGCCATTGCAAGGATGTCGTGCTTTTCTGGAAATTAAGCCCTATTATGGAAGACAGGACAGCCGTTACAATCCGTAGTATTGCTGGCAGAACTCGGGAGTTTTGCCAACCGGTCTGGCAAAATTGGTTATGCCTGGCCTACGGCAGAACTCACGGGAAGGGAGGGTGGCAGAACGAGACTCGCAGAGATGTAATTTAGATCTGATAGCATAATTTGAATTCAATAAAACATGAAAACCGATGTCTCTAGGGTAAGAGGGTGCCTGCTAGAGGACGCCCCCTTGCATCACTGATCAATGACAGTTTCAATTTCGACATTGCTGTCGAGACCGCACAGGATCTTGAAGCATCCTTCACATGGAAACCTCCGCCCTCGACCGAGACTCGTGATGCAGATGACCATCTTGCTGGTCCAGAGCTAACGATGTTGCTGCTGAATTTGTGGCTCTCAAAGAGTTGAAGAGGACCGAACAAAATGAGAGCTTTGACGAAGTTGAAGTGCTTGAGGGAAATGCTTTTGATTTGGGCGGGTTGAACAAGGAATAATTACTTATGTAATAAACTATTGACGATTACCATTATTGTCGGTTACGCTACTAATGACTACATTTCTTTATTTGTGTTTGTATTTGCCAATGGGTGAACGGGGGCGAAACTCTAAAGTCAGAGTCTGAGACGACGGCTTGCCCTCATAGATGGGCTGCTCCTAGTCCAGAGGGATGGAAGACGTGTGGTACGCGCATACACAGTTCAGCTCTCTTTCCTCCTCACCTGTGTCTGACTCCTCTCATAATCAACATTCGCCACCGTGACTGTCACCCGCACACTCGGATCCACTGCTCTCTCTTCGTGCACCTCCTTTCCCTTGCGCTGCTTTCCCCAGATCCACACCACGTGCTGACAACATCACCAGGGAACTTAGCTCTGCTTCCTGGAACTTAACTGTTGGTGGTGCAACGGTCTTCTGAGGGGGGAGCTTGATGTTCGCCGGGAAGGCGACACTAGTGGGAGTTGGCAGCCTTGCTTGTGTCGTCATGAGGAGCGTGCACCCAGCTCGGGTATATTGGTATGTAACTGGGAGGGAGTGTTGCTACGTGCTGTCTACAGTATACAGACCGAATGTCAATATATGCACAGTCACTTCATTGGCAAAACATATCAAACCTTTGTACTCCAAAATTCGATGTGTCACCTGTTCCAACTGCAAGACTGCCTCTGAGGACATGCGGTGCAAGGAAGGCACCTGTAAATACAGCATGCGAGCCTGAGCGTTTAGCAAGTCTCCATCGCTTTCTACCATCTCTTTTCGCCCTTCACTATTGATTTTGCGCATTATCGTTCAATCTCCACCTCATCGTCCGCCCGTCTGTAAAGCACGTGTCATTCAATCAGTGACATGTTTACAGAAGTAGCTAAGTCAGGCGTATCGGGAAGTCAGGGAGAAGTGCAACGAGAAGCGCTGTCAGACTCATCGGCACGTGTTGCACGCCTGCGGACAAGTGCTCATGATCCACCACCACCCCATGGTGCACAGCACCGTCAGGATGCACTTTGGAAAGGTGAGCAACCACGTCGCAGTGATATCCACTGGCTTACTCACTGAAGCAGGCGGGAATGAAGCCCTCCCTCCTCTATGGCATCAGTTTAAGATACTGGATTGGTAGAACACGATATCAAGACGGCACGCTCATGATAGCCTCGTGGAAGCGACCTCTACCAGGAGTGCGACTAGGTGAGCAATGAAAGCCGCACTAGGAGCGATGAACTTACGGTTGAACTTAGATGATCCTGGAGAACTTGTTGTTCCCGGATGCGAATGGCACATCTCACCACTCGGTCGGTCCTACTTTGTCAACCACAATAATCAGACCACATCATGGAAAGAAACCGGCCCCAGAACGTCCAGCCGGGAGTTTGACGCCGGAGTGCATCATTGATGGTCACTCCAAATCCATATGGAGCCTTGCCTACTTGCGCACCAGTGGTAATATAATGAGCACGTCGGAAGACCATTCGATTCGCCAGTGGAAAAGAGATGGAGAGCTAGTAGGAAAGCCTTTGGATAGCGAGGGGGGAGGGATAGGCTCAATGGCAGTATCCCCGGATGAAACAATGGTCGTTTGTGGAAGTGCAGACGGTAGACTGCGGCTGTGGAATTTAAAGGAGGGCAGTATGATCAGTAACCCGTGGGAGGGGCACAATGGTCCAGTGAGATCCCTCGATTGGTCTCCCAATGCCCTGGGTATACTAAGTGGATCGGAAGACGGCACCATAAGACGCTGGAAGCCGGATACCGGTCGACAAATAGCACCACCGATAGAGACCAGTCACGGATGGGTTCATGCCATCAAATACTCTTCACAAGGCGACAAATTCGCGAGCGTTGGGGACTGTCCAATCTGCATATGGTCAAGGGAGGGCGAGCTGCTCGTCGACATCAAGGGACATGACCGCTGGGTGATGTCGTTGTGTTGGTCCAAGGATGGCACACACATCTTCTCCGGATCACTTGATAACACCATCCGAAAATGGCGGTCAATTGATGGGCAAGAGCTCGTCGTGTTTCGGGGTCATACCAATCCCGTCAGATCCCTCTGTCTTTCTCTCAATGAAAGCTATATTGTTAGTGCATCAAATGACTGCTCCATTCGCATTTGGGACCTCAAGACTAGTCAGCCAGTTGGAAATCCACTCTTGCATGATGACGAACTCTTGACTGTTGCCATATCCCCCGATGGAAAATACATTGTCAGTGCTGGACTAGACAAAAAAATCTATGTATGGAGCTTGGAAGCGGCACTCGAAGCCGTAGTACGTATGTGCTTTGGTGTTTCAATGTCTTTTTCTGATGGTTTTGGTCGTCCAATAGGATGCAGATGATGGAAATGCAAAACTCAAGGCAAGTCATCTGCTTCTCTTTCACACTATATAACAATATCTCACTTTTTACTAGGGATATCCAGCCCGACCGAGAGTTGCGCGGCAACCAATCGTGAGCAACCTCATCTTTTCTCACATGTCTTGTTGGATTCTTAATGCTCATCTACACTTCAAATAACAGGCTAATACCAAAGGCTCGGTGAAATATGTCAGTATGATTTTTCGTTCTTCAGTCTCTTGCTAATCTGACTTTGATACAGGGCAAAGGTTTCTTCAGCAACGAGTCAGACCGCGTGCCTCGTCGCACAGCTCCACCTGCAAGGCCATCATCCCTTATTCGTTGGCGTCGCCCGCTCAGTTCCGTACATTTTGGCACACGGCCTGCAAATGTATCCCAACCAATTGAGCGACAGTCCCAACACTGGAATTTCAACTTGTTTTCTGGAGGAAATCCCAGGCGTACCATCGAAGTAGCTCCTGCTCGCGATGAAGATGTGAGTGGGCCGTCATTGCTCCTATTTCATTACATTAAAATACATTGTAGGGATATGGCATTACCCCTGAATCTGATGCGGAAGCAGCCGCAGCTATGCAACGCATAGATGACAGTGAGGCTGACAGTTCAATGCAACCAGGTCGCCCTGAAGCGGGGGCACATGCATCTCAAGGACAACCAATTCACAAACAAGCACAAGGCTCGACTGGCGGAGCAGAAGACATTTTGTATGAAGGAGTGAGCTGCTGTGGATTTTTCTTTGGTCGCCGTCGGTCCACTTCACCTCGGTCATGAGATCATCTAGAGCCTGCATCACTTGATGATTTTTTCTTTCCTCGCGGATGCGTTTACGAGCACCATCCTATGTGTATAGACACATCAGTAAATTTCTCCAGAGATAGGTATTTTCGATGGTTTAACGTACAGTGCCGATAGAGCTCACAGGGCGTACCGCTTCACACATTGTCAGACTGCATAGTAATTACAGCTGCTTAAAGCACGGACAGTTCGTACAACATAAGTGACTTGATTTTGAATCAAGCAGAGCACCTCCCGAAGACACGACACTAGTGTAGTAGTTAGACTCAAAATTCAACATCATTTCAATACCCCAGATAATTCGAGGGCAAAACAAATCTTATACTTGGCAACAGGCGACATGAGCATACTACATATAAAACTATGTATGGTTGCCTGTGCAAGCTCGTGGAGGGTGGTTGGAGTGTTTATGGCCCAAAGGGCAGAGCTCGAGCATGATTCGTTGAAGGTAGATGTCTTCATCAGACGCGTCTGCTGGAGAATTGTTGCATTAGCGGATCACATAATCTACATACACCGTCCCTTGCCGCGATACTCCGAAGATAGGTGCCCTGGACAGAGAGGCAATAGTTCATGATAGATATGGGCGCACTCGCATATATTGGTGGCGGTATCTTGTTCGTCGCAGCGCTGGGCCAGCGCCCCGGTTAGAGGATAGAGCGATAATGGGTGATCAAGGTGACCTTTCGGATGCAATGCAAGGGCGCTGCGGAATAGGGATATTATAGAGTCATTGTATTCAAGGTCTTCTTGTGCACAACCTACAAGGCAGGCTCACACAAGGTTGGTGAGAGCCGCTCCACGGTCACGATGGGTGACCGGACAGAACTAACTGAAAATGCTCTACGGCATCGTTCAGGTGAGACCTCCCCGCTTGTCACGTATTCGGCAAATCGTCGTGGCCTGCATCCGCATCTCGGACAATCTCGCATTCAATGGTGGGCTACAGTGCGCGAACCGTCAGTAGAAACGGAAAACACGCAAACTAGGGTAACTTACATTAAGCAGCGTACCGTCGTCGTGTCCGCAAGCGTCCACAAAAGCGACCTTTAGCGTGAGAGAAGGGCAAATATCGACAATGAGTGGGAGGGATAGATGTTCCATGAGTCAGTAGATGTGCATGAACGGCATGCAGATTACTCAGCAAATGCTTTACTTTTGCTCATCTCCATGTTGAAGCAACCCATTCCACGACATATCGAATTTGCCGATGACTTCTTCATTGCCTAGCATTCGATCGAGCTTGAAGGATGCCCTGATCTTGAATGATAAATTTGGTAACGCATGTAATGATCCACAAACTGACGGTCAGTTCTTGGCTCGCATGCGAAACTACAAATCTTTTACAGGGTCACGGTATCCCCCCCACGCTCCAGATTTGTCGGATAATAGAACTCCGATGGCTGATCTCCAGCATCTTGTCTCGCCGAGCTTGATGGACATATATATGCTTGCGGGTATGCACCCGGAGGGGACATAGATATTTTGGCGCCGATGACTGTTGAAAGAGTGTGAAGATCATGAGATGAATATGATATGGTGTGACTCACGTTCAAGTCTCATAGATTGGCCCTGCAAGCTGCCTGTGATATGTCAAAAACGAGGTGTGGATATGGATATGGGAACTGTGGATATAGTTCAAGTGGGGGTTCAGGGCATGCTGCACGTGTGTAACCGCCTGATGGGTGGTAGGCACGTCAGTCTAGATTCTGCTGAGCGCTCAGACCAAAATATGACAGACTGACCGCCTGTGCTATCGGAGAAAGTAAGCAGTGCCACAGTCAGTGCCATTAGCAAAAGAGTGGCTCACCAAGGTAGACTGCTGGTGAGTGCTTGAGTAGTCGTCTGATCCAAAGTCATGACCCCTTGTATTGCTGACCCAGCCTTGCGACGCTAGCTGCTTGCGAGGTTTGTATCATGTCTACAAACCATTTAGAGTGACTACAAAGCAATATATAATGAGCTGATACCACATACACACTAGCAGTAAGTCAAGTCGGATTGAAGTCGGAGTCCAAGTTGAAACGTGGGCCCCTGATTAATGGCGCCCAAGTCACGTGGGGATAGTTGAACACGCGAGTAACGTCAAGTTGTGAGGCTCCAGACTCCAGAGGGTAGACGCATGCCCGCAGTAGCCTGCAGTCTAGCTAACAGGGACCACAAATAACGTTGGTGACACGCAACCTTGGTTTCCCACTGGCAATGGAGTCTAGGAGGATGGTCTCTGATTTTTATCGTGGAGGCTCGCCTTCGACGCCTTACTATACAGCTCATCCATCTCCGGAGCCTCACTCTGACGATGAGCAGCAGCCAATGGCAGGCCCATCCAAACTCGCGCTAGACTTGCCGGTATTCTCAAATAATTCTTTCCAGCTCTCCGACGAAGAAGAGGAAGAAGAGCACTCGAATCTACACTTAAACATCAATTTTAATCTCTCATTAGATTTCAGTCAAGCTACGCTGGGACATTCTCGTCCGCCTTCACCAACACCAACCGCGGACTTTAGCATGATCTCCCCACCAAGCAGTCCTTCCTATGTTCAATATCACTCTCAATTTCTTTCAGCACCACAAGGACGAAACACCCTTCCTTTCTTCCGGACATCTCCAACCCGCACTTCTACCCATTTACGAAGTCACAGTATAGCCTTGGGAGGAAGTACCAAACGCCGCGTACGTCCTAATATCACGAAGATTTGGGAAAGCATCTCTTCTCCATCTCCTCGAGGCAGCAAGTCCTCACCTACACTCAAAACATCCATCGCCAATCCATAGGCACTTTACTAAGTCCTCCCCTAACATCTTGCGCGCAAAGCGCAAGACCAAACGTTCTTCAGTATCAGACGTCTTTTACTGTGGATCCGGGGTTCAGGGTAACATCAATGGGGACGTCGACGTAGACTACCGCGCATTAGACCCGCTTGACGGTGAGGAAGGTGAACTCGTAGACCATGAAGGTTATTTTGATGCAGTCCAATGCGATCTCACGGGTACGTATTCTTCAGATTTTTTTATACTAAATTAACATTTATCATCTAGCGTCCCTATCGTCATATACACAGTCCCCCTCACCCTCTCCTACCACCACCCCAACATCATCTCACCTCTGTCCTCTTTCGACCTCAAACACCCTCCCAAGCCTACACCCTCTGCCCAACATCATACGCCTCAGCCTCAGCCTCCACCTCCACGTTCACCTCCACGTTCACTTCCACGCAATACCTCCCCCCTGCCCAAACATCCCTCCCCCTCCCCCCAGAACTCACCCTGCACATACTTTCCCTCCTCCCGATGCGTTCAGTCCTAGCCTGCATGCTTGTCTCTCGCTCTTTGTACACACTAGCCAAAGACACAAGCGTCTGGCTAGGAGTGTGGAGAGGAGAGAAGGCCGTCCAAGAGTCCGACCGCGCGTATCTCGCCAAAGCCCATACAGCTATTCCTACAACTTTGCGTACGGGCTCGGGCCTTTAGTGAGTTACATGTCTCCTTACTCATTCCCCACAAAATTCCCTGCCCAGCTTGGCCTCCTCTTCTGATGATGATATCTCGTCGCTGCATTATGCCCACGCAGATGAAGGCGTACATGGATTCTTGCTCCTTGAGGACTCCGAAGATGCGGAAGGGGATGGGCCTAGTGGCTGGGCTGTAGATTGGGATCGAGTCGAAGCGTTGTGGCACCGCGGATGCTCGAGGGGCGTTTTTATGGATAAGATATCAATGCTCACCGACCATCAATTCACATCCCTTATCCGGATCCGATCTTAAGAAGAGACACAAATTTAGGACTCCTCCGGCTCAACTGGCATACCCTCTACCGCTCTCGTGCCACACTCGAAAGTCGATGGCGAGATCCGCGTGGTGAGCCGCGGGTGATGCGGATTGAGGGACACGGAGACAGGTGAGTTCTGTCTCCTCTCCTCTGTGTTTGAGTTTGAGTTTGAAATTTAACAACTGACCGGCGACCCCCATAGCGTCTACTGCCTCGACTTTGACTCGCAACGGATCATCACAGGATCTAGAGACAGAACCATCAAAGTGTGGTGTATTCACACTGGCGAGTGTCTTGCGACGTTTGAAGCGCATTTGGGGAGTGTGCTTTGTTTGAAGTTTGAAAAGGACTTTGATGCGAAACGATCTTGCTTTCGCCGGTCTTTTACTCGCCAACCTGGTTTTAATGGTGAAGACAAGGAGGGTGGTGCCAATGAGGATTCCAACGAGGGGGAAGAGGAGTCGCACGGTATGATGGTATCCGGTTCTTCGGATTGCACAGTACGTGTCTGGGACTTATACACAAAGCATCGTGGTTCGAGAATACGGGCTGATGTACGTGCGATTCTGCGTGGCCATTCTGGAGGCGTGTTGGATTTGAGGATGGATGAGAATTGGATCGTTAGCTGGTAAGTTCCCCTTTCTACCCATATCTTATCCTCCCGATATCACACATCTTATGTTTTCGTCGTCGCACAAACCAACACTAACTCCCTCCCTACTTAGCTCCAAAGACGCACTCATCAACGTCTACTCCCGATCTACGCTCGCTTTACACGCCGTCCTACAAGGCCACGAAGGACCCGTGAACGCCATCGGGCTCGAAGGGGGGAGAGTGGTGAGTGCCAGTGGGGATGGTCGAATGATGTTGTGGGACGCTGCTAGTGGGAAGTGTGAACGGGTATTTGAGGGGCATGAGAGGGGTTTGGCTTGCATTGAGTTTAAGGTGTGTTTTTTCTCCCGTCTTATTTTTTTCCGTCTTTCCGTTTTCTTTTCTTTTCTTCCCCCAAAGTGTGGTGGTCGTCGGTCGTCGGTCATTGGCAATCAATTATATCATTTACTAATTAATCCTACTAGGATGACTTAATCCTAAGTGGTTCAAATGACTGCACTATCAAGCTCTGGCGCGCATCCACAGGAGAATGTCTGCACACCTTTGCTGGTCATACGTTGTTGGTCCGCGCGTTATGTTTTGATCCGAAGACTGGGTATGTGGTTAGTGCGAGTTATGACCGAAGCGTTAGGGTTTGGGAATGGAAAGAACCTGCTACTTCCTGCTGTGGATGTTGCTGCTTTCATTTCGCACTCTTCTTCTTCCTCGTCGACCTCTTCTTCCTCGTCAAACTCTTCCTCGTCGTCATTCCACTCGACACACACCAGCACCTCAACTGGCAACTCAACACACGCCGGAATCTCGATCTGCGCATCCGACACAGACGGAGCAAGCGTGGTAGGCGTCGCAGACGGTGTCGTCGGGTATAGAAATTCGGGCATGAGCAAGAAGAGGGGTGTTGGGAGGTTGGTGAGGGAGTTTAGGGATTTGCATGCGAGTCATATTTTTGATGTTAAGTTTGATGTGGGGAGGATTGTTAGGTGGGTGTTTTTTTAATGTTTTTGGGGGAATTGGGCTTTGCAGTTGGAGTCGGGCTTTTGCAGTTGGCTGAGCTTTTGATTCTTGCTGTCCTTCTCGTTGCCTTTGCCCGTTGTTCCCGATTCCCATCTGATTAATGAGACCTACTGACCTCGCTTTCCTGTAGCACTTCGCATGACCAGAAGATCGTTGTTTGGATTTCACAGGTGACATCGAAGGCGCTGAGATCTTTGTGTGATATAGGGCATCAGAATCCTTTTTCTTCGTCTTCGTCTTTCACCCCATCTTGATTCGACCATATCTGGTGATACCTCAAGTTCAAACATCGAATCTATTTATTTATCACGCATCTTATATCCGTTTTGAGCATCTTGCATTGCAATTGGACTTGGTTCGATCTTGTATCTAGCTATACCTCTAGTGTATTATGTACAGTATATCTGGTGAATGTCATTGGTTTTGTTTTGCAAGCTAATGTTGGTTGGTTGTCTGGCGTATCCGAGTCGGCGACGCCATGTTTGACTCTCTTGCTATACTACCACGGACAAGTTGAATGTAACGACGTCAAAACTCTTCACTCTTGAAGGACTGGTTACGAATCTAGCTGGCGGTACCGTAACGTAGTTGTCTGGCGCCCAGTCTCTCGTAGGCGGACCCTAATAGAAGCCTTGAAGGAAGTTGTTCCTGAGTTCGTATCAGGGGCTCAGTGGTAGTACGTACCGACGGTTTGGTTGGATTTCCAAAGCTTATCACAAAGAACCTCAGGACGACTCTCTTCCTGCTATATGTCAAGCCAATAATTTCTCGAGTCTCCACACACGTACGTGGCTCATGGAAAGGGGTCCGCCCCGAGAGATAAGTCCAATTGTCCAGACTCCACAATCCGAGTCTGCGGTAAAGTACTCTAAGCCAAGCTGGTATCACACCATCATGACAAGTCGATCCCGAATTGCTTCCTGCGAGACTGAGAGCATCGATCTGTACCGATTTCATATCAAGCCGTCCGGATGTCGTGGAAGCTACAGCCGTTATATATATGTAATTTGACTACGATCGACGTGACCGGCCGTGCACCCGCATCAATATTCCGGTGTAGGTAGGTATTTGTCCAGGGTCTTGCAGGGTCATCAACATCGAGCGACGACGCGCTGGATATGAACTGTTGAAGGTTCAATTTTGGAGATTCGGCGGAACACCAAACCCTCGAAGAGTTGAAATTATGGACCGCGATGGATACCGACTCAATCCCCGCGACCACGGCCAACCACGGTGCTCGCACGCGACGCTGACTGGCTTCTGAACTTCTTAAATTTTGGGAATGCGTGGCACGAGAGTACTGTAGTGACTGTATGAATCAAAGTTCAAGTACGAAAACAGCTTTCTCAAAGAACAATGTCCAATCAGGGCGGGATTCCATTCCAGCCCTTTTAATTATCCACGTGTGAATCGACATGATCGCCAGGAACGACAAAGTGCCAGCACTGGTCTGGGATTGTTGACTTGGCACCTCTTGGAACTGACAGCGCAAGCGCAGAGGATAGTTCCACACACACGACAAGATATCGGAGCCGTGGTTTGGAGATTGGCTTAGTGATTAAAACGAGTAGATAGGCTTCGCCAAGGTCCTTGTGTTCCGACGGCCCACTCAATCCCGGGTTTTACTAAGGGTCTATGACTGTACAGGACTGTACTTATGTTTCATGGGTAATAAAAACTGATTTCGGGGAGGCGGCCACGCCACGATTGGCCATATATGTACGTAACTTCAGAAGACTGCTGCTATTTTTCGGCGCATATCAAGACAGATGTGGGAGAAGAGGTGGGTGGCTTCGTAAGTCACAAGTAGGGTATAGTTATTGATTGATACATACTTACGACAAATCTGTCACTTGAGTAGAGAAGACAGATCATTTTTAAAATCAAGGCTCTGATTGATGACGTCCCGAGTAGTCAAGTGAGATGCGAGCTCAGCGCTCATGCATCATGTCCGTGACTAAAGGTGCACACTCATCAGCCGCGGACGTAAATCGAGCTAGATCATCATGCAACCGCAGTTAAGCATACAGCTTCGACCTTCTTCATCTGAACGCTGATACGCTTGGCGTGACCCGAGGCCAATATGGGTCAATGTAAATTTATCCACGATAGTCTCGGGATCAGGAATCGCAGGCGGGATGCCGTCCTGCACAGGAAGTGACAAACACTCTTCCGGCTGGTTGATCTCCAGAAGCTCAGGATCAGATGTCAGATGAATTGTAGATTTCCCAGTGCCCATAGGGGTATGCCCCTTGATCGTATACAAGGATAGAAGCCTCGAGCGTTTCACCAGGATAGCTGGGCGCATAGATAATAGAATCCTAAAGACTGCATGCGTGCGATGGTGGTGTGATTGTAGAATATCAGTGGACTGCACAACTGGAGTGAAATAGGTTGTTCCGTTGATCTCGTATGAGCCACATGGGAAAGCGGATGCTTCGCTATACACCGGCAGGCCATAATTTGGGATGGCTGGCACCTTAACACCTACCGGAGGGAGTGAGACATAATGTCGAAATGCGCAGTCAACACCATCAGCCAGCGGAAACGAGGCGTATAAGCAACATCAGTGAATTTGAAATTCGGAGGTCACTCGGGGTCAACAGAGATGTAGAATGAGCATCAAACACGGACATGGTGAAACGTCTTCGGGTGACACCTCAGGTCCATGTACTAGTCCCTTGAATGTATGTCAAACACCTGATGCGTCTGTGTCGCCTCCACAGCGGTATTATTGGAGCCCCAGACACAAGCGTCAGATCCAGAAGATCCATCCCGCTCTTTTCGTATCTGGTCAGAACTCCGCGGGGATGGCAGTGCTGCATCATTGCATACTGCGAATGGGTCAAAATCAGAACCTCCCCCTCGTCAGAAAGAAAGGATATACAAGTTGTAAGCCTCGCCAACGAGACACCAGCCTTGTATTATGACAAAGTGTTTGCAGGCCTGCATCTTCCTATTTTTCGGTCGGACAATCATATTTTCCCCTGTGCCTGAGATGGGCGCAGAGGACAACTGCGACGGGGAAAGCAGCGTTTCATGCACAGGCGTAGCGACTATGGAGCGAGCTATCGGACACTAGTGTCGTGGCGGACTCTTTGATGTTTGGTTGCAATGCCGACCAATTGAGCACGAGTTGTCCTGCAAAAGGGCTCATGATGTTGGATAGTGGAAACGGTGCAGGAAGCGGGTGCATGAAAGTGCATTTGTTGCCATGTGCACATTGTCCCGCCACGAAGTCGGGACAAATTTTAGCTAGATCGAAAAGTAAGCATCTGGGACATGTTATTGAGCATGAACTCACTTCGATACTTAGAGTGAGGCGCCACGGAGAAGTGTCAACAAAGAAGGTTGTGATCAGATACGTCTCCAGGCAAGCGAGAAGCAGAGAAACTGAAAATTAGACTGCAGACACACAAGCTCAACTGGCAACGAGGAGTTTATGAGGGTCAGCGACAGATTGCACGAGAAAGGCTCTTAACGACTCGGACTCGAGATGAAGACTCACGTATGTGGCATGCGATTATGATCCAGGCTGCCAAGGGCAAGGTCGTCTTATGTATTTCAACATCAAACAAGGGTCGCCTGGTGGATGTTTGTAAGACCATTATTGAGCTGAGGCTGACCGTAACAATTGCTGCTTGACCAACGAGTGTCAGAGCGATTCAGTGTGGTACCAGGTAAAACTACCCATTGAGACGAGTCCACGTGTGCATTGGCCATGGTACGGGTACATGATCTACCCGCCCATTTCAGTGGTGTAAACTTGAAGCCTTTGCAGCAGTTGCTAACGTACTACGTCTGAATCATTGGCCAAACTTGAAGATCCAGACGCCAAAAGTTCACTTGTACGTAATGAGGTGCTTACTTAGCGCTTAGCCCACAATGAGCCCACAAAGTATGAACACCGCTGGAAAATGTGCTTTGGTGTCCTTTCAATATCATAAACCTCATGCCTTTCATTGGGCGATGTTAGTCAATCAAATCAGACACTGGAAACAACTCAAAACCCGCATTGGAATTGTCCGAGTCGGATAGCGTCGCCATCATGCCCGCCGCGCACTTATAAGTTGTTTCATGTTTCAAACATGTACTAGCAAAACAAGAAGTCTCGCCACGTATCATCACGGCATGCTGTTCTTCCGACTCGCACAGTAATCGTGATCAGATCAGGGGCACACACACAGATAGTCCACACAAATGCTTATGGATTCTTTGTGACTCACCTGAACTTTTCTGGCGTGGTCTGGTGCCGTCGGCCAAATCACATGGGCACATCATATCGCCATGTCAGAACACCTCTGACATGCGCAATTGCGCTAACGAATAGGATAATCGAGATCTTGTAGTGATCTAGAACGGCGAATCAATAATAAGTATAGCGGTGTAATACAGAACTCCAAATACAATTAGCAGCACAGTTGGCCAGAAAGCGATGGTGAGAATGGGATGGTATAGAATGTCCGAGAGAAAAATAATATGCTGACCATCCTCCCAACTAGGAAGGGATGGTTATAATATACACGAAATCAGGATGCGGGTGACAAAATTTCCTGAAAAATGGAAAGTCGCACTGTCGGCGATTTTTTGAACGCCGATGGGCGACCTGCCATCTCAGAGTCGTAGAGGCAGTGCTATGGCCTGAGATATCAAAGGTGCGCTGTGACCAGATGGATTTATTATGTGATGCAAACGCTTGCGTGGTGGCAGATTTGAATCCTGAAGGTCTGTCGTCTTCTCAGGACCAGGTTCCTAACCAAAAGGTCTTCGCCACATACTATGTACGTCAACCTGACCACCCTCCTCCCAGTTCCGCGAGTGCTTGCGCTCTGGCCTGTAGGATGGATCTCTTGATGATCGCATCTGCCCGGTAAACTCAGTGTGGAAAGGGAGTTCTAGAAAAGCTTCATTACCTCAGATTGTGGGATTGCTTCGAGTGCCCCAGTGAACGACCCTGTCATATCTGGCTGACGCCAGTCAACTCTGGGACTATTTTGTGATGGTACCATGTCAGCTGAGGGTCTCCGGTCGACAAGATGATGAGACGAATATGAATGCTGCAACGGAATGAGCGGTGTATCTCGGGCAATGTGAGTTCCAAACCCACGTCTTGTTGACTAGAAGTATCATCATGGGGTAGTGATGACTGCCGCGAGTAATCTTGAAGGGGAAGTAAGATTATAGTACGCAAAAATAAATGCTCCAAATAAGCTCCTACCTGTTGAACTCTGAGTTCTAGAGAGAAGAGCCGTCACTAGCAGATGTTTCGTTGAGCGGGATAGTGATGCTAATGCAGCACAAAATACCCACTGAGTTCGTCACGATGCTGTTCGGCGGCGTTGACATCCCGCCTAGCACGGGCTTCCGCTTCCAGACAAACAGTATACCGTTGAAACGCATCTTGTGTCTGTGACTGCGCGCGCGCGAGCGTTGTCCGTGCTTCTTGAAGGTATTGGCCTTATGAAAGAATTTAACCTGGAAACATGGGGAGAGCCGATTGATGGGACAAACCAGATGACTGCGCGTCTTGTAGGAGTTGCTCGTACGTCGCTGTTGAAGGCGAGGAGGATGTTCGAATGACATGTGGGCGAGATGTGCCCGGTGAGTGCACATAATTTGGACTTGAAACATTTGAACCACTTTCTGCATGTGGGAAGTCAATATGACTGCGTGAAAGTACTTGAGAGCGATCACAGCGGCTGACCTGGCTGCAATCGAGCGATATGATCCACTAAACTGGAGGGCGGATAACTCCCTTCGGATAGTTCAGGTGTTGAGACCTCCATGGAGTCGTCGATGGGTGGAAGCTGGGGAGCGTTGGGACCGAGATGTCGCAATCGGGGGTTGTGGGGGATGCCTGCATTGTGTCGCTCAATAAACTTCCTCAGAAAGGCGAGCTCGATATCGTCAGGCATCACGTATGGGGGGCCCTGAATGTCGCCTTTCTGCATAAGGACCTCTAGATGTGACATTGTCTTATCCTTGAGCTGTTGCAACCACTCATGCAATTCCATGTGGTCTTGGTCTGCGCGAGCGTCACTGCCGTCAAGAGTGCCATGTTAACAATAAAGCATGTCTGTAAATTATCATCGACAAACTAGTCTTGACGTCTTCTTGCTTTTCTCCAGTACGTTTTTGTCAATTTCAGGGCGCGGTTGACTTCATTGTCGAGGGTTCGATACCAATCGCTTGAACGTCGGTTTAGCTTCACAGCCAGCACGCCGGGTTGAACTCGTAGCTGGAGCACACAACGACCTTCGGCATCAGGAGGGCCCAAAGCACCTTTTTGACCTTGATTGCCCCTGGTGGCGCCACGGGAGACATTGCCAAGTTCTGGCCATGGGAGGTCGTCGGATTGCATGTTTACTGAATGATTGATACTCCGTCGACGGAGTGGCGAAGTTGAGGAGTGTTGCAAGAGTGGAGATAAAAACTCGTCCAAGATAATCATGCGGCAGTCTTATAATTGCAGATGTCCTTTCTATGCAACGTAGCGATGCGGCTTTCACCATACGCACTGCCTTGGTTATTCCAATCAGCGTTTGCTGGGTGACATGTCAACATACTCATGTCAGCAGGGGTGACATCTGGCACATCTAAGTAGATTTAAGTTCAAACGTTCAAGCCAGGTCACCTCGTTGACGGATATTCGGACTGCTCTCACGTTTATATATCATCGCGACGCTGGCCGGTGTCCTGATATAGGTATGGTTGTGATGAGAGAAGAAACGGCAGCTATGATTACAAGAATAACGATGCAAAGCGACCACAAGAAAGAGTGCCATTGGATACCATCCATACTTGGCTGACCCCTTGCAATCACCCTAAATCCCAATTGCGGTGCCACGACAGCCGCGAGATAACCCATCGTCCAATCGAGTACTCAAGTCTCGGCCGGCTTTCAAATTACTATCTCGGTCATGTGGAGAAGTTCACTCCCTGCGCCAGAGGTGCAGCATCGGAAAAGTTGACCGTGCATGCACTCCAGCGAACGTACTGCTTCCAGGCATCTCCGCCGGATTCGCGGCCCCTGAAATAAAGAAGTCAGAAGAGAAGCAGATCTAGCTGGAGATGTCCTGACCATCCGGTGCTCTATAGGTGAGAATGGGCGTAATTAGGTTGCGAAGGTCGATCATTGAGAACAGAAGCTGTGACAGACCTTATTGCCTCCAAATGCGGCACCTATTTCGGCGCCGCTAGTTCCAACGTTGACCTGAAGTGTTTCATTATATCAGGACTGCATGTCCCAAAGCCAAATGCACATACGTTGACAATGCCGGCGTCTGAGCCTTTGGGGCCAATCCACTTGCCAACGTTCCGAATGTCTCTGGTCCAGAGGCTGCTAGACAGACCTTGGGGAACAGCATTGTTCCATTCAATGGCCTGCTCCAGCTCATCAAACAAGCCGACATTCAGGATAGGTGCGAACGTTTCGGTACTCCATATCTTATCGGCAGGATCCGTGGTCCTTGGAACTGCGATCGTGGGTTGGACAAAATTACCCTGGCTCAATGCCGCATGATCATATTTCCTTCCACCAATAAGAATTTCAGCACCAGATTGGCGGAGTCGCTCCACAGCGTCGCTGTAAATTCCAACAGCTGCACGTGTATGCAAAGGCCCGAGCAAAGTGTCATCTACTAGAGGGTCTCCAACGCTTATAGTAGCGTATAATTTCTGAAGTGCGTCGAGGAATTTCGGTGCAATCGCACGATGGAGATAAAGTCGCCTGGTAGATGTGCACCGTTGGCCAGCAGTGCCGATAGCACCAAAAAAGACGGCTGGGACAGCTAACGACATGTCTGCGTCTGGCATGATGATGGACGCTGATGGGACGTTATTAGAGACCATCCTCATAGTCTTACGTAGTAAAGAAAGTACCGTTGTTACCGCCCAACTCCAAGATGCTCTTACCGAACTTAGACTGAACAGCCTTACCAACGACCTTACCTACGGCCTCACTACCTGTAAATGAAACTAAAATAATTTTGTTTAACAAACGCCCTGCGCCGCTTGAAAATAAAGCCTTACCAAGGGGTACATCCTGACTTGCAACGATAGCTTCTCCAACATCCTTTCCGCCCGTGATGAGAGTAGATATGGCGCCAGGAAGACCGTTCTTCTCCAGCACACGCGCAATGATCTTTGTTATGGCAATGGAACAAAGTGATGTGCTCGGCGATGGTTTCCAGACGTTCGCATTCCCAGCGGCGACTGAAAGCGAAAAGTTCCTAAGTTCAATTACTTAGTCAGGTCTCCCGCCAGGCATAGGAAGTCGTACCACCCATATACTGCCACCGGAAAGTTGAACGCAGTAAGCACACCGACGACACCAATGGGGTTAGGTACTGCGAAACAGTGCATCAGCATAGCATGTCATAAGTCGAATTAATTGCGCAGCCGACCTTCCAGGATAGTGTGACCAGGTCTTTCAGATGCCACAACTCTGCCGTTCATCATTCGAGATAAGCCCACCGCGTAATCACACTCAAGACATCAAAAGTTTCAAGATCAGCATCGGAAGAAGCAAAAGAATCCGCACAATATCCACGAATTCCTGGACTTCTCCAATGCCTTCTGTTTTAATTTTCCCCATTTCGAGGGAGACCAATGCCCCAAGAACGTCACGCTAAAAAACAATAAGACTATACCAAATTTCGTGGAAACAGGGGCTCTATACCTTTGCGGAGAGTGCTTCTCTGATCTGTCGTAAAAGCTCGCCTCGCTTAGGAGCAGGAACCGTTCTGAGATGAAGATAAGCTTCCTTAGACTTTCCCAGTGCTTCGTGCAGCTCATGCGGTGTCGCCTGTGAGATATTATATTACATGCCGGACAAAGTACGCAGTGAGCCTACTATGCACTTACCGACCGAACCCGCGCAAGTACTTCCCCAGTGGTGGGACACACGCTTTCCAGCACATCCCCAGAGCCAGACCACTGCCCGTCATAAACGCCTGGAAGTTCCGCAGCACCAGCAGGGATGTCAAGCGACGAAAGGATAGCCGATGCGCGCGTCGACAAGCTCCGTGCGCCTTGAAGAGTGCCGCAGACTGTGTGGCGCAACAGCATCATACCGTTAAACCTGAAGAAGGTGTTTTGTAGTAATCAAAAATGTTCACGTATGAGGGTTGCAGTCTACGGTCAAAGCAGATGCAGCGATCTCTGGTGGTTTGAGTTCTAATTAATTTCTAATTCAGATAACGCCAAGCTTAGATCCGTGCATGCTGTGTCACGTGGTTTGGTGCTACTTCTTCATATTCATGTTCCGACCACCTCAATATGAATCTTTTGAACATGCAGGAGCTGAAGTGTGCATATGAGAACGGATAGGATATGTAATGTGAGCTAACATGAATGAGATAACACAATTATCACACAACGAGGATCTAAGCGGCAGATCTATCTGTTCATTAATAGACTCGGACAACTTGGGACCCATCCAGAACCAAAGCCCACGGATCTCATTAAGATGATGCGGTATGTGGCAACCAAAACACTGACAGGGATGGATAGTCGTGGATGCGCTGATCTCACAGCCTGCCCGAACCTCCCGACGGGTTAAGTATAATGAGCCCTCCGGTCCCTGAACGGCTGTGAGTACTACCCGCATCGAGAGGTAAAGCGATGAGATGCACCTAGGGAGTTAGTTTAGCGTCGAAGGCAGTAATCCTGGTTATGTATGTGTAAGATGCCTCACGTCGGTGCCAGGATTATAGGCCATTGAAGAAGGAAGGGTCCGCGTCAATCTGGTTCCGCGCCTTTTTGCTCCTCCCTGCCAATGCATTTTTACTGCTTTTTGATTTTCTTTTTTTCTCCTTCGGGGAGTGAGAGTCCCCTACGTCCTCGTCGCTGTCAGAGGCCTCCATTACTGCTGCGGTGCCCTCGGGAGGTGCTTGGGTCTCGACAACGGCTCCGTCGGGTTCCTGCGGGTCTATGTCCGAGGCTTGGACAATTTGTACATTTTCGGATTCATCAACTGCCTCATCACCCTCTTCGTCTTCAAAAACGGCCCTGAGATCTGTCATCTTGAGTGTGTCATCGTGACCTGCACTGCCGACCCATCTTCCTTCCCCACCGAGATCGACTGCAATTCTTTCGATGGGAAAAGACCCGTGGTCAGCAACAACCCCAAGGAGCTTGGTAGGAAATAGCTGCACGGCCCGTAGAAGACCGTCAGACGATCCCGTGAGGATCGTGGAGTGAGAGGACGGGTATGACGATGGTAGCGTACAAAGAGCATCGATCGACTGGGGGTGTCTGCAACGACGATGAGAGAGGTATTCAGGCAAGCATCCAGCAACAGATTATTTTTACCCAGGAACTCTGTCGACACAGTCTCCCCATCCATGGCTACGATTAAACACGGATAGAATCCCCGTCTGTGTGCCGACTACTACTTTGGACCCGCTATTAGCCCGGCATTTCGCATACACACAATGAGTATGTTTAGATATATATATAGGTGGAAGTACCTTCGAATAGCAACAATAGAGAGCAACTCATCCTCCTGATCCTCGGACTGTGCCACCGGTTCCGGCTTCTTTCCACGTACATCAATCACTGATAGTGTGCCATCGCCGCTTGATTATCGCACAGAATAAAAAATAGGAGTGTTGGAATGCGGAGGATACTGTTGCTATAGGCGCTTGCTTACCTAGTTGTGATGAGTTGCTTCTTGTCGTCTAACCAAAGGAAATCAGAGATGAAGTCATAATGATGGGTATAACTTCGAATGGGATCAGACTTTCGAGGGTCCCACAGCTATCCATAGATAAGTAAGGAGTTGATTGTGGCGCATCAAACAGAATCGGCTGACCTTGATTACTCCGTCATCATCACCAGTGCCTAACATCTGGGGCATGAGACGTTTGATGCGATTCACTGGGGAACTTTAATAGGCACTGCCATCAGCTGCCTCAAAGAAGCATGGAGTCATATCAGGAAATCACTAACTCACTCGTGGGCATTTTTTCGCGTCTCACTGACGGTTCCAGTGGTTGTATCGATTGTGCTATATGTCTTTAGTACTATAAACAATGGTCCAAATATCAAAATAGAACATACAAAATAGTTTTTGCCTTTCCAGTTGCCCAAAGACGAGACCCATCCTGGCTAGTATCCAAGCAACGGCAAGAACGCTTGGAAGGCCTTAACACGAAGCTTGCTTCATGCTGTCCTTGTTCGTCATACCGAAAGGCCTTGACCTTTCCATTAAGAAGGCCAGTATATACAGTCGAGTGCGTGGGATGAAATGCGAGGTCAAAGATCTGGGATCCAACTGGAATGTCCGGCATGAAAATAAGGTGCACGGCTCACAGCTAGACTTTAGGTGAGGGCAAGCAGCAAGCCAGGCTGGCAACTTGAGTCTAAGTTCTAACAGTCATAATGTGGACGACGGTATGTACCGTGGGACTAACATTCCCACGTCTCCGGTGATGTCGGAATGGTCTTGCAGTCCAGCCGGTAGTCTAGGCGTCGGGATGAATGCGCCTGCACAGCGTCCTAAACGGCGTTTCATCTGTGTCGGTCAATGGGGAAGAGAAAATCCCTCATAACCCATGGCCTCCGTATCTCGTTTCTCAACGTTAATCGTTTTACTCGCAGCTATATGTCTTGCCCAGACAGTCACGCTACACGCTGGTCTCAACAACGCCCTCTCTAACGGTGCCAACACTAAAGCGGTTAGCGCTCGATATTCAAGCAGGTCATCGCTTGCAGAGGATAAAGAGGATGTGACCCTGCTTGACATCGTTCTCGTTGCCTCTGTAGATGGTCGATTCCACGCACTTAACCGTACCTCTGGACAGAAACTCTGGTCCATGTCGCATTCTGCGCATGCAGCTCCGTTCAGTCTTGCGCCTCTTGTTCGTACCAAACATGTCACCTATGACTCTGACTTGACGGACGATGATGACGCCCATCACGAGGTGTACATGATCGAACCACAGTCGGGTGACATATATGTGATGGCTACCCCCAGTAGTAAACTCCAGCGCCTCTCTTTTTCCATGGCACAGCTTGTCGAGATGTCGCCTTTTAAATTCGCACGGGATGACGATGAGCGGGTCTTTGTTGGAAAGAAAGAGACATCTCTAGTGTCAATAGAATTGGAAACCGGGAAAGTCAAGGCCATTAATGCTGAATGCCCTTGGGATCCATTTGAAAATTTCAGCCACAAAGAGGAGCTTGACTTAGACGAACTTGAAGATTATATACCAAACAAGGAGAAGTTCATTCCGACGGAGGTCTTCATTGGACGTACCGGTAAGTGTCTATTGCTTCCAGTTATTACATCTAAACAAGACTTTCTTGCAAGACTACCAAATATCCATCTTCACCCGCTCAAATACCCCCAATGGTCGGAAGGTTCCTATACAGAATCTGTCCTTCTCCACATATGGTCCCAACAACCAGGACAATGTCTTGCAAGCGGCGTACCGGAAGACGCAAGACAGCACATACATCGACTCCCTACCCACTGGCACGATCGTTTCACTTAAAGCACATGAAAATGATTCTGCAGGTCCGTACTCTCTGCAGAAAGCGCAATTCATGTGGACAAATCATTTTGATAGCCCCATGTAAGGAATACTCTGTGTATTACCGGAATGTTCCTAATATTTTATATAGAGTGGCTGTATTTGATGTTCTATCGAGCGCTCAGAAGCCAGATCCATTCGTCCTCTTGCAAGCCTCGTCCTGACTTCTTGCGCGGATCGGATGTCTCCTCCCTTGACATTAATACGGCTTATGTCGGCCTTGTTGAAGAGTCACTCTACGTAATGGGTGTGGACCACTTTCCACTAACCGCATTCGGCGACACCGAATTCAACCACAAACTCATCGAGTCCGTCGACGGTATCACTCGGCGGCGCAAGATGGTGGAACTATGCGAACGTGACCCAGGCAATACCAAATGCCTCACGGGTAAACGTCACCTTGATTCGTCTTTGAATAACAAACAACTCCCAGGCGTTCCTGGTGCGATGTTGCCTCCTGGCGACAACTCAAATCCGCCAATCGATGCCGTAGAGGCCATGTCCACTCTGTCAGATCCCAGGGACAACACATCCACGACTGTGCCAGGCTGGGTGCCGTGGTCGGGCACTAGCTCTGGTGCACATATCAAGGTACTCGGCCCAGCATCGCCCATTTCTACCATTGGTTCCATAATGCTCGCCACCGCCTTTGCGGCTGGGTTTATATTCCGATCAAAGCTGCCCCGCATGAGGCTCCAGATGGCGCCCGCCACGGTGTCTGTACCAAGTTCCATCGAGGAAAAGAGAGATGGAGATATGACAACACCGCCTCCTCGCCCAGATACCCCTGTCAGACATGGAGTAGAGATATCCCTGGTTCCCTCCAAACTCGCACCAGTTACTATCAACTCGGGGCCTATATTATCACTAGACGACACCCCTTCTCATGTACTGCAGCCTCCCAACCACTTCGCAGAGCTTGAACAATTCGATACCCCAAGCACGACAACACTTGATATTGGAGAGGCAGAGGATAGTGACAGGGAGACTCCAACACCAAAGAAACGCCCTCGACGTGGGCGCAGAGGCAAGAAAGGAAAGGGCACAGGGGCAGCCGTTAATGGCATGGGGGATGATCAGGATGACAAGGATGCAAATGGTCATGTTCCTGAGGCTGTGGTCAAAGACAACCCGAATACCCCTTCTCCCACACTCGTGGTGCCTCAGACGCCGCAGACGGCTACATCTTCCCTGGTCGTGTCTGATACTATACTAGGTGAGTATTGATAATGAAATCCGTCTTATCTGTTAACACGTCCACAAGGTTTTGGATCTCACGGAACGGTTGTGTACCAAGGCTCCCTCCAGGGGCGTGCAGTAGCTATTAAGCGCCTCCTGCAAGATTTTGTCACTCTCGCCTCCCGCGAGGTTGATATTCTCCAAGAATCGGACGACCACCCGAATGTCATCCGATATTACTATCAAGAAGCTCACGCTAATTTCCTCTACATTGCTCTCGAACTTTGCCCCGCGTCCCTTGCAGACGTCATTGAGAGCCCCGACCAATTTCGCGAGATATCCAACTCATTCGACCCAAAGCGTGCCCTCCGCCAGATAACATCTGGGCTCCGACATCTGCACTCGCTCAAGATTGTTCACCGCGACATCAAACCCCAAAACATTCTCATATCTGCACCGAACAAGGGTGCATCGGGAAGGGATGGCGGGCGGAGGATGCTCATTTCCGATTTCGGCCTATGTAAGAAGCTCGAGATAGACCAAACGAGTTTCCTGCCGACAGCACACGGCGCCATGGCTGCAGGCACTGTCGGATGGAGAGCACCTGAAATTCTCAGGGGCGAAGTGAAACTTGACGACTCGATGAGTGATGACCATTCGCAATCATCACGAGGCAGCGTCAGTACTGCAGTGAATGGGTCAACATCAGGCAAGCCAACGAGACTGACTAAATCTGTTGACATTTTTGCGCTGGGATGCCTATTTTACTACGTCCTTACTAACGGATTGCACCCATTTGGGGATCGGTTCGAGCGGGAGGTTAACATTCTAAAAAATGCCAAATCCTTAGATGGCCTGAAGCAGTTTGGCGAAGAGGGTTCGGAGGCGGTAGATTTAATCACCAACATGTTAGATCCTGAAGCCTACAACAGGTACGTTTCTCGTACATGTTCTATTTCTGGGTGGGTAATTTATGTGTACAGGCCCGACACGACATCATGTCTTCTACATCCATTTTTCTGGGACTCAGGACGTCGCTTGAACTTCTTGCAAGACGCATCAGACCGCTTCGAGATCATGTGTCGAGATCCCCGTGACCAAAACTTGATCGTTCTTGAAACCGGCGCTTTTGATGTCGTCGGTCAAGACTGGCATGCACGGTTGGATAAGGTTTTCATTGAGAACCTGGGCAAGTACCGGAAGTACGACGGCAAGTCTGTGCAAGATTTACTAAGGGCTCTGCGAAATAAAGTGAGTCAAATCGTGTACAAAAATCCTTTCTGCCAGAAGCTAACGTGCACTTGAAGAAACACCATTATCAAGATCTTCCAGACCATGTTAAGCGCCATCTAGGTCCTATGCCAGAAGGCTTCCTATCCTACTTCACCCGCCGTTTCCCCCGCCTCTTCATGCATGTGCACGGCGTCATATCCAACACACCATTATGCCACGAGTCCATGTTCAGGACATATTTCGAACTGGTCGACTAATATGCTGTCTATAGTTATCCGTCTGATCGAGTGGAAGTTGACGATCTTACCTGTTTTTGCATTCGATTTCGCATATTTATTTTAATCATATCCACATCATGCATGTATCTGTACTTGTAACTGTTGCTTGGCGTACATTGTCCTGTAATGAGAATCCTAACTAGACATTCCCTTCATGTGTTTGATGAAACACGTTACATGATAGTGCAACCCCAGCCCGATCGTTCCTCTTGCTGCGCTCGGGCTCTCGCTCTCTCTTCCATGAGCCTTTGACGTACTTGATCGTAATGGTCTTGGAAAGCAGCACGTTGCCTCGCTTCGTCTCTCCTTGCCTCTACTCGCCTCGTATCTTCTAGTCTTGCTGCCTCGCGTCTCACTGCTTCTCTTCTATCTGTCAATTGCCTCACCACTGCATCCTGTCTTGTTGCTACCTCCCGTATCAGCGCATCATTGTTCTCCCTCCTCTGCTGCTCTTCGATTCGCGCCTGCTCGGCCCGCCGGTCGCGCAGCGCTTCCTGCCGCTGACGTTGCTGCGCTGCCAATTCAAACAGCCAGTGCTGTTCGCGTACATTGACAGGCTCATCAACGGGATTCTCGTCGTAGATCGTGCCATGTTCGCTGCTCATGTGCGTATAGATGGTGGTGGGAGAAAAGACGCCCATGCATCGCCAGCAAATATGGCTCTTGCACCTGTACCCGAGCGAATCAATTAAATGCAAACAGAAGCGAGGCGCATCTAGAATAACTTACAGAGTGCAAGTCATATGATTGCAGCCATCCACTTTCTCGATCAGTGCTTGACAAGTTGGGCATTTCTTCACGCGCCCGCCATGAGCTGTCAGCCATGCCTCCGTTTCTCGCTCCTCCTCAGCAACGCGTCCAGCCTGCCGCTTTTTTTCGCCACAGATCATACCGTCATGGACGTCATCATGGCACGATGTACATATGTTTGAGAAACACGAAGGGCATTGGCCTACGACCGTAGTGTTGGGGTCGGTGGAGCGGTAGATCTGATTGCAGTCTGGTGTCTTGCAATATTTGAATTCCTGCGGATGCCGAGATATATGTGCATTGAATACTATTTCTAGCAGGCGGTCGAAGGAAGCTTGAGGGAGGAATTGTTGGATAGTGGGAATGGGAATGGGAACTTTACACTGGGTCTCATCACCCATGCACGTGAGCGGAAACTGACCAGAATCCAAAGCGGATGTCAAGAAATGACGCATGCAAGGAGCGCAGTAGACGTGCCCACAACCAAGATGAAGTGGGGAGGATATGTTATCATAGCAGATCGGGCAGGACTGCAGTCCTGACGGGTCTGGGAGGATCTGTGGTCCACTGAGCGAACTTTGGATCAAGCGCTCGAGGGCGTGTCGAGCTTCCTCGCCACCAGAGATTGTGATTCTCCGTGTAGCTATAACGAATTTGACGTTGTCCTCGCCAAAAGTTTCCTTCAGCTCTGGAATTCCACGTGCGAGGAAAAATCGAACCGACTGCCTCGCGAGTACTTTGGTATACTCGAGCGACGAGAGCTGCTCCAGCTTGTCCTTGATCAACTCACGAGCCTGTTCAACAGCTTTTGACTCTCCATAAGCTTTCAAAACCTGTCGTCTCCAATCCGCACGTACGAGTGCCCCTGTATTGTCAAAAACCGAACGCAAAAAATTGTTGTTTGGATATCCGAGTGTCATGTGCCACCCTTCCACCTTCTCACCAGCGATCAGGGTTTCCACTCTAACTTTGAGTGCGCCAATGGCCTCTTTCTTGGAACCAGACAAACGCATCCGGACGACGGCACCCTGCTCATGAATGTGCAGCATACACGCACGCTTGTCTTTGATGCTACCGATCAAGGCATCCCACAAAGACTTCTGTGCGCGGAACTGCTCAGTAGAGATAGTAATTGAGTACTGTGTGGGATTTGGGAGCCGGAACCAAAAGGACACGTTCCCGATACGATGGTTAAGGAGACGGGTATGCACCGTGTTCGCGTCCTCCCAAGAAGAAAACCGCGCACGGACCAGAACGATACCTTCAGTGTTTGGAGTCGGCAGCAGCGGCTCCAGCGACACTAGGGTTCCAGGAGAGATGCGTTCGATATCATCCCGCAATGTGGTAGTAATATGACCAATGTCTCCGTCGAAAATGACACCTTTCCCCATCAACTGCCTGACAACATCCGAGCCAGAAAATGTTTTAACTTCTTCGTCAGAGACAGTTAGAGGAAGGAAACTAATCTTGACTGAGTTGTTGTGGAATGTTGGTACGAAACGGCCAGGAGGCATGGTGTTGACCTCAACTTTGACCCGGCGCCCAGAGCACATCTGGCGGTCAAGTTCCCGCGTTTTTGCAGCAGCATTTACCGTGTCAGGGTACTCTGCGACATAGCGCACGGACGGGACACGCCAGGATATCGTAAGGACATTGCTGTCACGTTCAGTCGCCGCGGACATGCTTCCAGGACTGTTGTAGCCTGATACTTCGAGAGTCAGAACTTCGTCCCTAAACTCGAGGCCACCGAGGTCAAGCGAGAGTGCTTTCCCGGACTCAGCGTCTGTGATGATTTCAGCACTAAGCTTTCCACCACTTGGCATGGGCTTGACGCTAACAAGATGGAAGCGCCCTCGATCAAGGCCGCGGTCTGTGAACAGTGTATTGATTTCATCTTCCTGCACATTGGGAGGCAGATTTGCAATACGCAAGGTGCAGCACTCGAATCCGGTGATTAGGTGAGATAATTGAAGGCCTGCGCTGAAGGTTACGATGGACCCAAGCACAACGGTCTGAACTGTCTTCGCAGCGGCTTCTTTGGCAATCTCGGCTGCACGAGCTTTGGTCTCAGCTGCACGAGCTTTGGCAATCTCGGCTGCACGAACTTTGGTCTCAGCTGCACGAGCTTTGGTCTCAGCTGCACGAGCTTTGGCAATCTCAGCCGCGCGAGCCTTGGTCTCAGCTGCACGAGTTTTGGCAATCTCGGCCGCACGAGCCTTAGTCTCAGCTGCACGAGCTTTGGCGACCTCGGTTGCACGAGCCTCCACGGCTAACTTTTCTTCTGTTTCAATTTGTTGAGGAACAACATCTTCAAGATGTTCCTGATAGTCGCCAAGTTAAATACAAGGTAGAAAGCCGCTCGAAAGATTTACGTACTTCGATGCTGTGCGGAAACCAGCATTTGGTGCCTCTTGTGCACGTCCCGGCCTTCCAAGCGCGACACACTTCGCCACCCTTGGAACCTCTGGATGGTCCAACAGACGGATGGCTGGAATTCTCCGATGCTGACCTTTGAGAGATGGTGCGCTGCACCTGTGACTGAGCCGTCCTGGGCTGGCGATCCTGTTGGACATTGCGCTGACGACGACCCTTCTGATCGAATTGGTGGTTGACATTAGTACGACTCAACTCAGCACCTTCAACAAGCTGAGTGCGTGCTAATACATCACCCTGTAATGATTGAAGCTTCAGCACACACAACCCAGACCCAGAAAATCTGAGCGAAAACTTGCCTGGATTTCGTGTCTAAACCTGCACTTCGCTCCGTAACGACACCGACCTTGAACATGATACTGGCACGACATGGTAGGAAAGAAACAAGCCTTGAGCTTGAGCTCGAGCGCCGTGTACCTCGTGTATACAGCAAGTCTGCCATCAGTCCAAATTGTTCAAAACAGAGTATTATGGAAGCATGATAACCTAGCAGAGTGGGCGCGGCTGCAGCGCTGTCACGGTCTATCAAACTTCATTCTATAAATTAATGCCCATGTCCCAGCTACTACTAGACCAGTATATGTAGCTCATTAATGTGCTGGACGTTGTTTCCTGTTGGCTACACCACTCGAGTATCCGTGGTAGTATACGCCAGGCTGGTCACGAGCCTAGTTTCCTATGTTCAAAGATACTTAGCCACAACATGAATATAAATCCCTGACTCATCTGGGCTCTGTGAGAGTACTAGTAGGAAAGAGAGTAATTCCTGTTGGGATGACTCCGACTGCTCTTGTACAAATTCTGTTAGAGCTGTCTCGATTCAACTTCACGTGTAAAGCTTGAGTTTGGATGGCCACCGGCCAAGCTCCAAGCCCAGAGCAAAGCAGACAAGCTGTGTTGATCGATCGATCAAATATGAACAATGTTTGGTGAAGTAAGTAGCCTACGTGCTGACTAATAATAAGCTGCGGAAAAGGCCGACAGACCCAATTGGTGCGTAGCTCTTGCCCTTCAAGTGAAGTCTGGACCCCTGGATCAATTAACAGGCAAAACAATCTCCATGATTAAAGGACAATGGCCACGGCATGTATCCGTGATGGCTGTTATCTTCCATTCTGGTATGTGTTTGCAGCATTTCTCTGATCGATGATTAAGTTATGAGCAAGGACATTCGAGGAATGAGAGCGACGCAGGTATTTTGCATGCACCATTGGCATGATGATCTACATAGGCACACTCTTGAATTACTATTGGGCACGATCGCATTTATGTGTCTGATAAATCCAGTTCAAATAGGACTCTGGCAAGGTGCCTACATCATGCGATGAGGGCAATCGGAATCTAGAGAAGTATATAAAGCAATCGGACCACTACTTATCAGTATCAACGTCATTTACCCTCGCACTGCCGAAGATCCGCGAGGAGAACTTAACTCAAATAGCACGACCGGGTGACAACAAGTTCAGGACCGGGGTGACGGGAATCGCGTGACTACTCGACCTACATATGCTATCACTCCAATTCGGTTAACGCACCACCAATGTTGATCTCATCCTCCACTCACAAGTTTCGAGTAGCAATCTGGTGAGTCGTATAATCTCTTACAAACGGAACGCGGAATGAATTTCCTATGCAGTGGTGCAGGCATAGGAGGGCTTGTCCTCGCTATCACGATTGGGAAGTTTGCAGGGCACGATATCCACATAGACTTATACGAAGCGCATGATGCTATCACGACCTCTGGGGCTGGGATTTCAGTCCCACGACGCACGGCGGAGGTCATGGTGGAACTCGGATTGTCTGAAAAAATCCCCAACCCTTCCCCTGATTATGGTTTGTTTCGAGATTTTGTGTTACAACCGCGTTTACTTGATTCGTTTCGACAGGTCTGAGATTAAGGAAGTCTAATGCCCTAAAGGGTGGTTTCGAGTGGTTTCATTTTATCTTCAAAACGCGTCTGTGAACTCCATTATTTCGAATCGGGGGTAGGAAGATGATAAGACCTCTCACAGTTAAACGGGGATCCACTATGCATCGGAAAGATCTCGTCGACATTCTCGAGCAAAATATCCCGTCGTCATGCACTGTGCACTTCAATAAACGACTTACTAAATATGAAAAGCACTCACCAGGGTCACTCGTCCTCTACTTCGCTGATGACAGCACCTCGACCGCCGACGTGTTAGTAGGGGCAGACGGCATCCACTCCTCAGTGAGGAAGACATTTTTCGAAACAATAGGCCCAGACACCGTAGACCCAAGCAAGATAAGACACTACGGTGATCCATCTTGGACCGGAACACTTGTCTATCGTAGCGTCTTTCCAGCAGAGAAGCTCTCGAAATTGGATCCAAGTAACGTAGCTTTGAAGGATTTCATTATAGTAAGCCCTCAGAAAGCGGTCACGATCGTCAGGAATAACTTTCATTTCGCAGTTCTGCGGGAAGGGAAAGGTAATTTATCGCAATCAATCGGTCCCTGCTTGCTGACGAATGCTCAAAAGCACATTGTTTCGTATCCGGTTTCGCAAGGAACGCAGATCAATGTCGCAGCATATGCTTCTGATGAACGGAAAGCTGGCACAACCTTTTGAGGGCCATTGGGTTTCAGATGTGTCGCTAGAAGAGGCTGAGGAAGCATATCAGGACTTCGAGCCTGATGCTAAGCGCCTTCTGAACGTAATTTGGGCCAAGTCATTTATGCTATCCTCGACTGATGAGTATTTTTGCGCAGTGTTTCGAAAAACCCTCAAGATGGGCGCTTCACGTGGTAAATGAATTGCCGTTATTCACTTGCGACAGAGTTGCGCTGATAGGTGATGCGGTGGGTTTCTCTTTACTGCCACTACAATCCTTTGACTAGATCGTGTACATAGGCCCATGCCATGACGCCCTACTGTGGCGCTGGAGCTGGTCAAGCAATCGAGGTATGGCATGTTCATTCAGCAGACCATGCAAACTCATCTCTTTGTATCAAGGATGCTTTTGTGCTTGGTCGCCTTCTTGCACACCCACTCACAACATTGGATAACGTGCCCGTCGCGCTGAAAGCATACCAGGACGTCCGCCTCCCGTTCACTCAATTCGTAGCACGTGGATCGGGACTTACAGGAAAGATGTACGATTTTCGTCGCACCTGGGTATTATGATGGGACAGATCGAGGCAACGAACGAGAGGAGATGGAGATCTGAAAGAGAAGATCATAGACCAGTGGGATTGGCAAAGTCAAGGTGAAGGTAGTGCTGTTGCTCAATGGGTAAAGGCAGAAAGGCAACTGCAGGAGGATTCGTACAACGGAGGATGTGAGAAGACGGTGCATCATGATCACTGTGTTCTACAAGTACTGTATACTAGCACCGAGTTCTTTGCATGCGAGTTGCATAAACGTACAATGTACATTCGAACGAAGAAGGCAATAAACTTATTTGATGATTTCCCTCACAAGGTAGTAAATAAAATATTCACTGATGCTGATGATACACTGGAACAAGCGAAAAACTAGTTAGCTATTCACAAAAAAGTACCATCCCATCGTTGGTTTTGTATCACGCAAGACTGTTTGGACTCTAGTCAGCTGCAAGCTCAAGCTTGATCTTCGCAATGGCTTCTGCAGGGTTAAGACCCTTCGGGCAGGTACGTGCACCTTAAGTGAACAATAAATTATTATGCCTGACACACAAGATGATCGAGGCAACATACAGTTAAAAATCGTGTGGCAACGGTACATGCTCATCTCGTTCTGGAGTTGCTCCTTTCTCTGGGAACCATATGAATCCTGTCACCAAAAACGCGAATGAGGTCCCGCGACATATCTCATGAAGGAACATACGTACACGAGAGTCAGCAATCCAGCGGTATGCCTGCATCAGCGTTGCAGGACCCAGGTATTCATCCTGGTTCCACCAATACGACGGACAACTTGTCGAGCAGCATGCGCAAAGAATGCACTCGTACAGACCATCGAGTTTCTTGCGGTCCTCCTGCGTTTGCAAGAACTCGCCCTGCTCGGGCAAGTTATCGTTCTGGAGGTAGGGCTTGATGGACTTGTACTGCTTGTAGAAGAGCGTCAGGTCGGGAACCAGGTCTTTCACAATGTACACTGTAAAAGCGAGGGTGTGAAGGATATTTGAAAATGTCAGTGAGGAACGTACTGTGAGGAAGAGGATAAATCTTGGATTTCTTGCTCGGGTTTCTGTCTATGCGACAGAGACAGGCGAGGGTATTTTGACCGTCGACATTCATCGCGCACGAACCACAGATGCCCTCTCTGCACGAACGACGGAAGGTCAGCGTGGGATCGACTTCGTTCTTGATCTTGATGAGTGCGTCAAGAACCTGTTACAACAGGAGAGTTCAGATATCAAAATGAGAAATATGTAGGGGCGAACGTACCATGGGCCCAGTTTGGTTAAGATCAATTGTGTACGATTGAAGAGTAGGTTTTTGTGCAGGGTCATCTGGGTTCTATGCGACGCAGATTGTAAGTTCATATTTAAATACATTACAGTCCGACTTACCCAGCGATAAATCTTGAATTCCTTGTTTAGCACGGGACTAGCTTGGCATCTTGTCGACGAGGAGAACGCACGCACGCAGGAACGCAGCGCCCTGGCGGTCTGCATGACCGTCGTGGAGGAAGGTAAAGGATGTGTCGCGTGAATTCGGAGTGGACGGCTCCGCTTTGCCGGGAGTCGGTCTGTACCCTTCAAACTCCGACGCGTAAAGCCGCAACCAATCACACTACAGCTATATTCAGGCCAGCCGCTTTTGTTTACTGTAGCCGGAGCCATATCGTTCTGATGTGTGTGGTTTGCGACTAATACCTCGTAATCAGACCTTGATAAAAGGCCTGGAGACAGTCGCTCCTTCTTTTCAAGGTGTTTAACCTTGTTGGCCTGAATTTCATGCGCGCGTCGAAGACTACACGATAACGTACATGCATGGCTGTAAATCACATATTCTACCAGCACAAAACAGAATATACAGGACATCTATATTTGCTTTCTCTGCAAGTTCTTTGGCAGCTCCTTCACCCATGGTAGGAAGTCCCGTCCCTGCATATATGGCCTGAGTACCTCAGGTATAACGAGACCCTAAGGGTCAATGCAGTATTAGTGTCAATCCCTCGCATCGCAAAAAGAAAGAAGAGCATACATCTGGTGTCTGATAATTTTCGACCAAACAGCATAATGCGCGTTCTGTAGCGCACATTGTTCCGTTCAGCATGTGGACGTAGACCTTCCGTTGCTGGTCCTTCGTTTTGAGACCGCAACGGACTTCTAGCCGCCTGCTCTCTGTAGTGTCACCGAGTCCACGTCAATGGGAAGTTTACGGATGAAAATACAACTTACGATAATCCGTGCAATTCGAGCAGGAAACGAGTTCTTTGTATGCACCTTGGAATGGGAACCACGCCTCCAGATCGCATTTCCTCGACGCTGCAAGGTTCAGTGCGCCACTGACAATCGCCACCACACGGTAAGAGAGACCCAAGCTCTGATAGAACCGTTCGCTGTTCCCCAGCATGGTATCGAATGCATTCCAACTCTCTTCCGGAGCAGTGATCACGAACTGCTCAACCTTCTCAAACTGGTGCACACGGAAGATGCCCCACATGTCACGTCCAGCCGAGCCGGCTTCTTTACGGAAACATGTCGAATATCCAGCGTAGTATATGGGAAGCTGAGTCTTGGGGTCTTCGAACCATTCGTCTTGATGGAATGCCGATATGGGCTGTTCCGAGGTCGCGATGAGATATTTCTCATCGTCGTTGGCGATAACCTGTATGATGATATCAATTAGTTTTGAACGGCGCTATCCACTAACTTCGTCATGCCTTGTACAGTTCCTCGTCGAACTGGTCAAGCTGCGCGGTCTTTGCCATGACGTCTTTATTGACGAGGAATGGCGGTTGGACTTTCTTGTATCCATTTTTGCGGAGGAAGTCAAGGGCATATGTGATGAGGGCTTGGTTGAGATCGACACCATCATTTGTTAGGAAGTAACCGCGGTGACCTGCGACCTTGGCACCTGGCGTATTGGTTTCAATACCTTAGAGAATATGAATGCGACAAGAATCAAACCCCGATCAAGATCCATTGCGTCTAGTCTGAGCAAAACTTCATGGTGAGGCATGATATTCGTCTTCTTTTCTACTTGACCATTAGGACCATCTGGATGCCAGGTTCGGAGCGTTACATTGTCATCCTAGAATGTTGTCTCAGTTTGACTGGGAAGACATAATTCGGAGGCTCACCTCAGTCAAGCTGACTGGGACATCCTTCGCCACGAGGTTTCCTACTGTCGAAGCTTTCTTCCGCATCTCGACCTCGAACTCGCGAGTCTCTTTCCGTTTCGCGTCAACCTTCGCATCTAGCTCTTTCTTGTCAGCAACAAGGTCATCCGCTGGTTGCTTTGGTCTATAAGAGTCATAAATTCAAGCAAGTGAAGTAGATAAGCGTCAAGAACAACCTTCTTCTTGGCCGCGATCTCCTTTTGCACCGCGTTGACCTGTTTGCTGAGGCCATTCGCCTCAAAATCCACTTAAAATACAATCAGCACATGTGTTATATGTTCCAAGACAAGAGACCTCTCAAGATCGCGCTTTTGAGCTCGCCGATCATGAAATGCAATCAAAACTCACTCTTCACCCACTCCGCGTACATGTCTATGACCTGATCGACCAGCTCTACCGACTCTCCCCGCTTCCGCTGCGATTCACGAATTTCCTCGGCATTTCCTCCTTTGTTGTCTATGAAACTAGTCACGTCAAGCGTCATGCTAGTTATATTTCTCTTCTAGTTTTGATTAAGCTTCTGGATCGTTGGCAATGGAGAAGACGAGGATCGATGTGATTAAAAAGGGAGATGGCCAATGCTCGAGATCAAGGATATCAGCTAATATGTGCCAGTGGTGTAGCGTCACGAATCAAGATGCTTTGCTATGCTTTTGATCTCCTTCCTCCAATAGTCCTTCGACTCATCTTTCGAGTCACGATCACGTTACGTAAGCGCGATAATTGCATTCACTGCACCATCGAAACCAGGTAGTGCAATGTCAAGTCACTGTGCGAGCCTCAGAACGAATCGACGACCTTCCTGTCGTGCTCGCATGCAACTTGACGACCTTGAAATTTCGGTTTGCCGCATACCGAAACAAAAATTCAGAAAGATCCTATGACCAAACAAATATCAATAGAAGATTAACCGTTCGTGTCCGTTGATCATCAACTGTTGTAAATTCGGTTTCTGGTGTACGTAGTAGTACATCAGCCACCCAACAGGACATCACTGTATCGATAATAACCTTCGCTTACCCCAGTCTATATCTTTTGCTGCTCATATCCCTGTCATTTCGCCTGACACGTACTATATCAATGTTCAAGTTCATACGTCGTGTTTCAACTTCATTTCTGCCGCGCCCAGATCGGCCCTGGAGAGATGATGGTAAGTCGTGTTTCATATCCCAACATAGTGATCTAACAATCTTTTGGAACTGATGTGCCCTTGTATTATTGTTTTAATTGATCGATCTGATATGTAGCAACGTCCAATGCACCCACGATAGGTCGGAAGAGGTGCTTCAGCTTCGTTGAGGATGACGATGATGACTCTGCTTCTACGAGTGTCAAGAAACTCAAGGGGGAATCCACGCAGGCTGAAGGCAGTCCCCCTTCAATACCAACGGTCTCGGATAAGAAGGAGGGAGAGGATGTTAAGTCAGTGACGCAGGGGGTGAAGGATGTGGAATTAGATGAGAAGAAGTTGGACTTATGCTCCGGCCCCGAGGAAGTCCCTTTGCCAGATTCTCCCGGTCGAACCCCACAACTGGACACAACATCGACAGAAGAGGCGGCTACGGCTCCAGAGGAAGAGGCTGATAAGAAAGACGCTCAAGATGATTCGGACACTGATTCGGTGGCTTCTTCGTCTCAAGTAATTTTGGATGAAGGACAGCCTGAAGATGATTCGAAGGATGATACCAAGACACTTTCTACCTCAGCAGCTGAGGATGCACCTACCACAGAACTTGGTACTCCTACTGCCGATGATACTCCAGCAGTCACAGAGACCGATGTATGAACGCGGACCATACCCTCGCTTTTGCAATCTTCATTGCTATATTTAATCAATGAACACGAGTACGTCCTCGGTGCGTAGATCTAGTTGATGAATGTATGGATACAGGATGGATTGCACGCTGGCTGGTGCAGAAGACGGTTCTACTAACGACTTACGATACCAATACTTGACACTGTTTATACGTACTGCTGCTAATTTCTCGCTCCACTGTTGATTGCCGATCACATCAATGTATCTGATTACTTTGTGTTCGATATCATGATGAAGATATCCAATGATGTTTAAAGCGACGTGTACAGCCACCTGTTCAAGGTCTTCTTTAGTACTGCCATCTTCCCTATGCAGGCCGAATAGAAAAATCATATCGATGGTCGTTCATATCTAGTTTTCTCCTATCGAACTCGTGCACACCACTAGCCACGTGCTGAATATTTCTTCATGATGAATGGTCATTCGTGAGTCGTGACAAGCGGCGCCATGAGGAAACCTGCATGCGGCATTGCAACTGGCTACTCTTTCGTTCACATCCCTCATGTAGTACTATCCGCTTAACAGGCAACTGGAAAGCACATGTAATCGAGCTATCTATATCCCAGAGAGGTGAGGTTTATTGTCATCCTGCTACTTTCAATCTGACTCGTTCGAGGGTCCATTATGCAGCGGCTGGAATGTAGAGAGCTTGACAGGATATAGAAACTGCCAACTCACCGCAAACAGCGGTCCGCAGCGGTTTATGACTCCATTAACTAGTGACTAGCCGATATGGGAGGTACTCGCCTCATGTTATGTGTGAGGCATACACGCCTTTTCTTGCGCTCGTCAGCCTCCTCACATGATAATCTGAACAGCCAGCCGCCTACTCTCTATGGCCAATCGATTTCATTCTACGAGCATCGATAGTGATATCGTGCTTCTTACGCCCCCCTTTTTCGTGGCATCCTCACCTTTCACAACAAGCTTCTCCTGCATGCCCGCCCGTCCACGGTACTTATACCTGACACTGGTTTCGTGTGTCCGAGGTTTCCTTGTACTTACGCATTACACGTACTTAGCCCCTTCGATCGTTCAGCGCCCTTACCACCCTTCCACGCCATTGATCGCACGCGGGGAGTCCACAGGAAAGCATTTTGTCGCCACTCACTTAACCCAGTCCTCTATCTCTCATTTGCTTCATCACCATGTTTCGCTTCATGGGCTCGGAATTCAATAGCAAGGGCAAACAACGTCAGCAAGATGCTGACCCGCAACTTCAGGTGCATATCCAAACCGAGGTCCACTCGAATCATCCTCCTGTGGAGAGCCAAGACTCCCAAGCCCTTGACAGTACATCCTCCCTCCCGACTACGCCTTCAAACCCTAAGCGCCCGCTGCCTCCCGGGCTCCGCGTGCCGACACACCCTTACCCATACTGGCAAAATCATACGCCGGCATCATCCTCCCAGAGTAGCCTCGAATCACCTAAAACCCCTTCGCAAATTTCCTGGCTTGGAGGGCCTGGAGGAACTTCGGTTGCTCGTGCCGCATCATCGGCACCAAATCTTCTGCCTCATCATTTCCCACCACCACCTCCCACTTCACCACCAGCAAATGTCCCACGCACGCGGACCTTACAACCCTCCAAGAGCTCGCATTCATTGCGAGTACCGGTGCAGGAGTGTTTTGGGCAGCCACTCTCTCCAATTGTTGAGCAAGACTATATGTCACCTGAGAAGCGCACCGTGTCATTACCGAGCAGCCCTGATGGCTCCGGTTCTCGAGCGAGTGGTACTACGGGTACTATGATGACTCCAACAAGTGTGGTGGCTATGTACTCTGCACGCCCACCACCCACGCCCACCACCCCAGTTGCTCCTCCACAATTTGCGAGACGACGAGAGGATTCACTTACTGGTGACTCGTCACGTTCGTGCGCGATTTCTAGTTTGGTTTCGTAACTAATTGATTTAAATAGGTTCATCGCCAGTATATTCAAATTTTGTTTCTCGCCCGCTGAACAGGACCATAAGTATGTCGTCGACGAGGACGCACCAGTCTGGCAACTCGGCATCTGCAACACCGCCTGTGATTCCTCCTCTTGATCTACGCCCAGCCTTTCCAGGACCCCTCCCCTCAGACACACTTTTGTCCCGGGATATCGCTGATGAAGGGCTGGGTATCCCCGACGATTCATCGACAAAACGCGAGAGCTTCGTCACAGCTCGGTCGGCTGCTGCAGTGCGGGAGAGCAGGTACTCTGCTATGCTTTTGGAACCGGATCATGAACCTCTAGATGATCAGGAGCTCCCATCAAGCCGAACTGCGGAGTCCTCTAACAGTTCCCCCGAGCACCAACAAGGGATCCCCCAGCTGCCTCCAGCAACACACACACCCGTACTTCCCCGTCCTTCATCACGAACCTCAACATATCCACCCTCATATTCACTACCACAGCCCAATGTAGATCACCGGACCAATCACGGTAGGATCGATACTCCAAGCCAGCGTGATTCTGTCCGATCAATGTCATCTTCATTCATCGACCGTCGCTTTGCAGAGTCTGAGCTATATTTCAGCTCGCACACGGAATGCTCTAGCGCACGCCAAGCCAACGAGAAATGGGGCAAGCATACTGAGAAATCCGACACCGCTCGGACGCTGTTCTGGCTTGGGTTTATCGCGCCATGGTGTTGGCTCATCGGTGGATGGCTGGTGAAAGCCAAGAGTAATAATAGCTATGGCCGGAGCGGGAGCATGATGCCCTTGTGGACGGGTAAGAGCGCACAGACCGTTGATTCATTTAGGATGCAGCCGATGCACCATGGCTATCCCTTCGTGGCACCTTCGGTACAGAGCTTAATGCCGCCATCGTATTCGCGAGGGATTCATTCAACTCATCCTCGTGGCCCTTTTTTGATGGCAAGGAGTCCGTGGATTAGGAGGTGTAGAGTGGCTGCTGCTGTGAGTGGGATTGTTATCATGCTGCTCTTCATTGCTGCCCTGGTGGTAGTTGGAAAGAGCAGTTGAGTCGAATTTTGGACAACTAATGAAGGATTCGTATCTGGGTATTTTATTCTCAAATTAAAATGAGCAAAGCGATCTTTACCGTATAGTACTATATGATCATTTCTCCATTGAAGCTTCCATCACATTTCGAGGATCAGAATCATAGACCTGGTTCGGACCTGTAGCACTTCATGAATACCTAGCACTTTACGAATATGTAGAACATCACGAATACTTACTAATGAAATCAATCAATCCTCAGAACACGAAGTTCACCTAGCCTCTTCTGCACCCAAGCGGCCCTCAGCTGATCGTTCATGTAGAGATACACGATGGCCTCATCTTTGTCCTTCAAGAACAACGTTATCATGTCCAACTTATCTTCGTTCGATATGTTGGTGGCCGCGCTGAGGACTTCAATAGCACGCGCGAAGTCAGAGGGAGCCGCGGCGACAGCGGGCGCAGGTGGGGGTGAGGGCATAGTCAAATGCTTGCTCATTTCTTGTACTGCGCTGGCGAGCGATGAAATCGCTTCCGAGTAATTAGCAACGTGTGGCAGCATGTTGTTGAGCCTAACGACAATATTTCTAGTCCTAGGCCAAGCCCGTTGAAGTTCTGCGCTGTGTGGAGCTGTACTTGAACTTATGTAAGCATCACACCTGCGCTGCCCAACCCCAAATGCGCTTCCCGATGATTCAGAGTGTCCCGATTCTCCATAACCACCATGCCCAAATCACCAGCAGAGGTTCTTCTCGAGAAAGCTGATAAGAAATCAAATTCTTCCACTGGATGGTTTTCTTCTTCATCAACCAAATGGGAGGAAGCAGGGGACCTATACCAACAAGCTGCCAACTCTTTCCGGCTCGAGAAGCAATTTAAGATGGCTGGTGACTCATTTTCGAGAGAAGCAGAGTGCAGAGAAAAGTGCAATGAAACCAACGACGCAGCAAATGCTTGGTGGAATGCTGCCAAGGCATACAAGAAAGATGACCCTCAATGTATCTTCCCCCGCACTCTTGATGCAGCTGATACTAATCTGGCTCCGCAGTGGCGATTCAGGCTTTGGGTTGCACGATCATGCATCTCACCAAGTCAGGCAGGTTCCGCCAGGCAGCAGACAGAGAGAAGGAGATTGGCCAAATCTATCAACACGAATTGAATAACATCGCGAAGGCATGCGAAAGCTTCCAGCGAGCTGCTGAGTGGTATGACCAGGAGGATGCTGCTGCGTATGTACAGTATTTGCAGAGCAGACAGCAGCTCACTTTTGTTATAGAACGGCTAGCGCATGTCGCAAGGATGCCGCGGACCTCTGTGCTGAAGTTGAAGATTACAGAGGGGCTATACAGCTTTACGAGATGGTTGCGAATTACGCGCTGAAGTCGAACCTGACAAAGTATAGCGTGAAAGATTACTGGTTACGTTCGGGTCTATGTGCACTCGCCATGAGAGTATGTTTCTCGTTGATGTGACCCACTTATTCTAATCATTGTCTCAGGATGTTGGGAAAGCGCAGCGAGACATCGAGGTGTTCAAGTCGAAAGATGTTACATTCAGCTCAACTCGGGAATGCAAGTTCCTAGGAGACATGTGTGACCTCGTAACAGCAGGTGATGAACAAGCCTTTACGACAGCAGTATTCGAGTATGATCAGGTTACGAAGTTGGATAATTGGAAGACAGGAATATTGTTGAAGATCAAGAGGTCACTCAAGGACGAGGTGGATATTCTCTGATGGAACACCATTCACGTCTCACCTGTATCATCTACGCGTACGTCGGACGGTTCATATTCACATTGATAGTTTAGATTGGGCCGAATATATTGACATGTATATCACGCACAAGGCGAACTTGAGGCGGACTACCACAACCTGCCAACATGCCCTCATTCACGTTGCAGTGCCGTGATGTGAGAGCATCCTCATCGTCTTCGCTGCGCGCAGTCATTCAAAGGGAGGCTGCGGGCCCATGCTCTTCCACACACAAATTCCATACTTCACCATACCAACGTTGAACAAGCGCTGACATTAGAAGTAACAGGTTGCACACTCGCTAGCTAAGCTAGCCCGCCTACTGCTCAATCACTTGTTCCTGCCAAACCTCGACTGACATGAACTGCAAGGACTACGATGGTTCCAGGACGAAAAGAACTTGTAGCAGCGCAGTGACTTACGCGAGACAAGGAACATGCTGCAGGCATTTGCATACCGTCATCGGGCGACAATGGCCTGGCAGGGTGAGATTTCTTAGGTCCAGTGCGATCACGATTAGGCAAATAGTATTCACTTTATCTGTCACATCGGCGGTGAACATGGACGGCGTCAACATTTTTGAGGTCTGGACTTCCCTGCAAGTCTCGGCAGGGATTCGGGAACTGCATAGTGTGAAAATAGTGAAAGGTCTGTCTAATTGCTCTCACCCAGCCTCGCAAGAGCACAGGCTGTGAGGATTAGCCAGCGAGACTTCGAACCTATAGTTGGAAGCTGCTTCATAAAGAGATCTTCAAGTCAGGGCTTCAGGCCATGTCGCGCAAGGCGTGGGAGGACAGACACAAATTACAGTGCCTCCATAATGTCGTAATATCGGACATTACGGTCCATGACATATGCATAGATGAAGTTCTACATGAGCTCCCCTCAGCAATGGTGAAAAATGTTCAAGCAGTAAAACTGTTAATAACCAGAGAGCAGAACCAGTCATCGGTATCCTTCTCACTGAATATTAACAGTTTCGTTCATCAGGAAACCAAGTACCAAGAGAACCGAGAAGACAAATTTCCAGCTATGGTGCGAGGTCAGTAAATGCAAACGTGAGCCCTGGCTTTAGTGTCTTCATGATCTAACGCCAGGGTCAGGCCGTTACTTTCCCTTCCCTTCCTCTTCCCTTCTATCCTTAATTTCCGCGCGTTAATCGCACGGCCGCGAGCAAATACGTTCCATGCACGCGTAGTCGGACTCGACCATCCGCAAAATTGCCTGAATAGCGTATAAATGGTAGAGAATGAGGGGAGCTGCGAGTTGTTTGGGCGGTATTGACACCCGGTGGGTAGCCTGTAGGGCGTGTTCGTTCATAGCTGACTTATAGCTAGATGATCTGTGATGAAGGAAGCAGAATGGAGCTCACCACTGAAGTCGTATCGATCTCCAGTAGTTGAGGATATGTCCTGGTTGATGTGCTACAGTTGCTGATGGGGGATATATACTGCATTGGCATCTAGATCTGTGAACATGGTATGGCAGGGAGTAGTTGAGAGTCAACGCAACGAAGCTTCCGAATGCGGAAGTCGTAAACCTCTCGAAATCTTTTCTCTTCCAACTCTCGAATACGCAAAATACAGCTTTGCTGATCAACAGCTCGACGTGCTGTTGAGATATTGAATAATGGTTGGACATGCATAGGCTCGATGTTTTTTGCATACTGATTGCTCCATCATAGAGGCCAATTCTATTACAAGGCAAAATCAATCCATAGCACCTTCAACTGTGATCTAACCTTCGGTCTCGCAGGTCACGAACGATCACTCACTCAAATCAAGTTCAATTCAGAAGGAGACTTGCTGTTCTCATGCTCGAAAGACCATATCATCAACGTTTGGTTCTCACACAATGGTGAACGCCTAGGTACATACGAAGGCCACAATGGCACAGTATGGACAATCGACACCGACTGTAAGGACTTTTTTCTTTCTACGCCATGGTACCAACTGACCCTAACCAATATCTGGTAGCACAATCAAGATTCCTTGTCTCTGGATCTGCCGACAATGAGCTACGTCTGTGGAATGTATCCGACGGCAAATGTTTGTACGTTTGGGAGTTTCCGACGGCCGTGAAGCGTGTGGCATTCAGCGACGATGACGAGCGTGTTGTTTGCATCACTGAGCAACGCATGGGCCATCAATGTGTAATACGAGTGTTTAAGCTGAACCATGATGGAGATGGAACAACTCGTGAGTAAGATGGAAATACTACTCTTGATCACTCCTGATGCATCACTGCCCCTCCAGAATCACTGGAACCAGAACATATGTTCAGTCCCATAGGATCCAAGGCCTACCGTTTGCGCGTTCACATACACCCCAAACCTGATCATAACTGGTCACGAGTCCGGAAAAGTCGCTCTTTTTGATGTCGTCACCGGGTCAGAAGTTCTCAATAACGAGCGTGCGCACATGGACGTCGTCACCGATTTGCAATTGTCTGCCGATCGCAGCTACTTCGTAACAAGTAGCAAAGATAAAACTGCTCGGGTGAGTTTCTAGCTATCGATGACTCGGACATTTTGTTCATTAATACGCTATCGGCCTAGATACACGACACGAAAACTCTTCGAGTACTCAAAACTTTCACAACGGAGACACCTTTGAACAGTGCAGCACTAGCACCCAACAAACCATACGTAGGTTGATCATTCGTCTTTTAAGATCCTGCTCTTATAACGGATACGTGCACAGGTTCTAGTGGGTGGTGGTCAGGAAGCGATGCAGGTCACGACTACGTCACTGCGGCAAGGCAAATTTGAAACCCGTTTTTGGCACAAGGTCTTTGAGGAGGAAGTTGGCAGAGTAAAGGGTCATTTCGGACCCATCAACACGTCAGTTCCCCCAGTTTTATTTCTTTTCAATGATTTTCATCCATGAATTGACTACTAGGATTGCTGTTCATCCGGCTGGTACGAGCTATGCTTCTGGTGGAGAAGATGGTTTTGTACGCGTTCATCACTTCGAGGAGTCCTACTTCAGAGCAAAGCCGTATGGGGATCTCCAGCTCGAGGATTGAACACGTATCCTATTATTCATGACAAGCGACCTTCCACTGTTTTACCTACTAGAACGATTTCCTGACGTGTACCCAAAGTGACTGTAGGATTGTAGGCTTGAAGGGCGACGGCGGGTCCTCGGGGCGCCCTACATGAGACTCGAGTTCGTTCGAAGTGTTGTAAGTTGGAGTGTGATTTATGAGAAGGTCATGGATGTCAGCAGATGCCGTCTGAACTCATCGTTGATTTCGGTTCAGAGAACACCAGATCGACAGACTCGCCAGATACCAATCAGTTACTAAATAGACCCATTAAGCAGTAGAAACCGATGATCATTAATAAACAATGCCATGCAGAGGGAACGAGCGTGCAACGAGGTGAGTGATACATAGCGCAGTGTGAATTAGCGTTATTGTCGATAGCATTGAAGGTGGGGTATGAATATGCAATGCAGAGAGCGAAGTGGATAACGTCGAACATATTTCTAGTTGAGATAACCGCGACACTTTGCAGAGCCACATAAGCATGGGATCTTATCTTGCTCGATGGGGAAATGGTAATCTACAAAGCGCGTCGCGTCAGTTAGAGAAGGCATGGAGAGTGCTGGGCTTGACTGACCATATGTGATTTCATCGCCCAGTTCGATATCCTGCTTGGCATAGATGACAATCTTCTTCTCGCCGTTGATAGTGATGATTTTGGCAGTACAGTTCGGATCGCATGAGTGATTAATGAGGCGCCTTAACGCAAACATCCAATCAGCAGCTGCATCGCACAAAGATCCGAGTCGGAACTTACCCTAGATTCCCCTTCTTCGTAGCGTCCACCACAAGGTCTTCATCAATCCGAAACAAATAACTGCTTCCGATCCCTTGCCGTTCATAGACCTTTTCCCGCTTATCGGCGACTTGAGCCCGAATGATCTCGCCCACATACTCAATGACCATCTCCCCTCGCGCGATCCTCTCCATAGCGTACAATCCCCAGTCATGAATCGGAGACCTCGCAAACCGAAGATGCTTTTTTCCGCGTTTGGAGCTGGTTGAATTTGATGCTCAGCTCTGCAGCGGCTGTCTCGCCCTTTGAAAGAGCTACAGCTCGCTGTACTTGGTTGATCTCTTCCAGACCTTGAGCACGGCGGCGAGCATTGGCGCGGTTCGAGCGGGAAGAGGTGACAGGTTGAGCGGGTGCTTCAGTTGGAGCGACTGACTCGACGTTCGTGGATCGTAGGGCGTATTGAGCGACATAGGCTGATTTCTCGGCATGAGAGATCTTGTAGTAGCCTTCGGTACGTGCTGAGCCTGTGAGATGCTTCCGAAATGCTAGTACAGTATCGGTAGTAGGCGGCGAGACGTGCGACACGTTTGAAGCGTCATCCGACATAGCCAGCCGAGCGAAATAGAGGTCCTCGTCGTCATTGCATATACCTTGCTCGAGTGGATCTGGAGGAAGACTCGGAGGCCGCGGTGATTCTGGCACAGGAGAAGGCGAGCGTGAGACTGACTCCACCTTTGAGATGTGGATGTTGGCAGTAGCAGGAACATTGAAATCCAAATCGTCGGGCCGGATGACCTCGTCGACAACCACCTTGGCTGCTGACTTTTTCTTGATGACCTTCTTCTTCGACAAGACTTTCTCATGTTGTTCGTCATCCTCGAGTACAGCATCATTCTTCGGCTTCTTCTTGACAGGCTCCTGCTCCTCATCATGAACCTCGGAAACAGCCCGCTTCCGGGGTTCAGGTGCAAGATTCTCCTCATCCTCGGACTCCAAGTCTGATTCAGCTATCCTCGTAACCTTCGCGACGATCTCTTTCTTCCGCTTTTTCTTTGGTGGTTCAACGGGTACAGGCTCTTCCGGCTCGAGAAGAGGGACTTCTTCTTCGACCACGGATGCCTTCGCCTCCTCCTCCCTTATTCTCTTCGGTTTCCGAAATGAAAGTCCTTTCAGACCTCGCTTCTCAGCCGGCCGTTGCTCATTGACCATCTCTGGACCCTCCCTAGCTTTCGTCTCTGCAAATTTGGCCTTCTCGTCAGCAACTAGCTTCCGTAGATCAGCAGCAGCCACCCGCTCAGTAATGTCCTTCTCCAAAAGAACCTTGAGCTCTTTAACGATCGTATCCGCCGCTTTTTGAACTATCTCCTCCTTTGTCCAGCTAGTCTTTTCAGCAGCCACAGGAGCGGCGTGAGAAGGAGGAGGACAAGCTGAGAGCGTTACCGAGTGGTGGCCAAGTGTTCGCGAGCTGAGCACCATGGCTGCGCGTCGTGCGGAGTCGCTTGTTTGGAAGGCAACATACCAAGCGTTGTGATCTCGTAGGACGCAGTCGACCTTGAAGTCCTTGAAGAACGCGCGCACGTCGTCCTCACGGATAGATATCATCGCGCCACCTGTGAGATCTATTCGGACATGCTCGAAGCCGTTCTTGGCGAGGGCGTCGATGACAGTGGCACTGGTGGCCTCTCTCTGCTGTTGATGGCGTCCTTGTCCTGGGCGGCGGGAGATAGGCGAAGGTGAACGGGATGGAGGTGCTGGAGCGTGAGTAGAACTATGATGTGAGGGACGACCGCGGTTATGGATGGGTGTTGATGAAGAGGATGACATAGGTGCAACGTCATTTACTGCTGGGAAACGAGTGCTCAGTGCTGAGTTCATCATTTTAGCTTTCATGACAGGCGGTGCTCTTCTGCTGCGGGGAGGTGATAGGCGTCCGTTGGTGTAGGGGATGTGTGCAGGGCGTGCAGGGAGCTGATGGCTGGGTCGCCATGCGGGCTGGACAGGTGTATGCGTCGAGCTGGGGGTCTGAGCTTTCGGTATGGATATTGGTGCGGGTATGGGTGCAGGTGGTAATGTCGAAACCTTGCCTTCCTTCTCCTTCCTTCTCCTCTCTTCTCTACCGCGATGTTTCTGTTGTTCTAGCTCTTTCCGCACTGCCTTCAGTTTGAGACCCTCGCCGTCAAAGACCACCTTGAGTTCCTCCCCGTCAGCCATTCCCATGCCTGTGCCAAATTTCTTTCCATGGGTACGCTCTACACATGACTTGGCCTCTTCATGTGTCTGGTACCGAATGAACACGATGCCAAGCGCTACCCCAGACTCCATGTCAATTTGCGGATCAAAGGAGGAGATCCTGCCATGTGCACTGAAGACGCGACGTATCTGCTGCGTGGGCGTTAGCGGTGACAAATTCATGATCAGCACAGCTGTGGGGGGCGGTGGGCCTGTTGAGTTTGGATCATACTTTTAAGACGCGTCAATGGGGTTAATTACGATATATGTGATTACACCCACTTCATACCGAATTTCATGGAACGTGTCTCGGTGGGGACGTTTCTTGAAACCCGGTGCCTTGCGGGGATCGGTTGTGGTAGGTTCTGGCTCGCCTTCGATCACTTCTCCGTTATACCGCGTAAGCGTCTCCTTTCCCTTTCCTTTGCCCTTGATCCGGGGTTCATCTGTACCATCGCCCTGGATAGCTCGAATCTTTTCGATTAGAGCCCGAAAACGTCCGTCGCGGTCCTTGTCGATGGCAGGGTCATAAATGATTCTGAAGTTGCTGCCAGTGGGGTATTCGGAACGGGAGGGCGGCCATGGAGGAGGGGGAGGTAGTGAGTAGAATTCAGGTGGAGGTGGTTTCGATGATGATGATGATGCGACAGGTTCTGAAGGAGGAGGTGAGGGTGATTTAGAGGGCGGTGGTGAGGGCGCGTGATCTGACAAATCTTGTGACGGTGTAGGTGGTGGTGAAGGCGAAGGTGGTGGTGGTGGTGGTGGTGGTACCTCTGAAGGTGGTGGTGGTGGTACTTCTGAAGGTGGTGGTGGTGGTGGTACCTCTGAAGGCGGCGGCGGTGGGGGCGGACCTGAAGGCGGTGGTGGCGGTGGTGGTTCTTCAATTGGTTGTGGTGGTCTCGGACGTGATTCGGTGAGGGAAGTTCTGCGATTAATTGTAAAGGATATCTTTACAGGTTGATGAGGTCTAACACCATCAGCAACAGTCGCTGAACTTGCTACAGGTGATGTTTCATGAACTGGCGAAGCAGATTCAGATGACTATAGAAAATTACCATTTATTATGATTCTCATCGTTCAGAGTAGTAAATAGACTCACATTCGATATTGAATCAACCTGCTTGCCCTTCTGTGTAGATCTTGGTCCTGTCGGTACGTTTATTATAGGTGGTCCAGTATAGCCATTAACAAAAGGCTTTCCGGTCGGTTTACCTCGGGGTTGAGTTGGAACACCATTCAGGAGTCTTGGTCCTGTTGGTGGTGGTGCACCAATTTTACTAGTACCAGCACCAGGTGAAGAAGCCGATGTTGAACTTGACGACGCCGAAGCTTGTTGTGACGATGAGCCAGGCAACGAACTCAAAAGCGCTCTTGGTCCCTTTGGAGGCGCTTTACCAGACATCAAAGTAGCCTAACTAACATGAGCAAAGCTCGAGATAAAAAAAATCTTGTTCGCTTTCACTGTCGTCGAAGAACGTGCAAAGATAAAGGGAAACCCGGAGGATGTCGATGAGGATCGTGGACAATGTTAAGCGTGTGCGAGCACAAACAATTGGGTCATCACCGCGGCAAACAACGACCAAGCCAAACAGCTCAGAGTCTCTTCCACATTCAAAAATCATCTATATAAGAAAAACTCACAGATGCGCGGCAACCTGCTACCCAAAACTCTACCGACTCATGTTTCACCAGCTTTTGATGCGAACAAGAGTAGCGCCCACTACCACAGATGCCACGTACGTAGGAAGTTTCGTTTGCGTTTGGGTTCCTGCAGAGAAAATTTGCTACATGTGGCACTACTATAGGCTATGCTCCACCTTCCTTCCGAAAGCCTTGCTGCAAAAGCATGTAACCATGAACGGTCTTGTGACTTCGACTGAACTCCACTCCGCTTGGCCCCATCCAGCTCAGCGATATGGACTTTGTTTGTGGGTCATATGGTGCCATCGGCGTCCCGCAATCATATTGGGCATAGTGTCGTTCGATTGATGTATAGGTGCCTTGCTTATAACCTGGCTGCAATATTCGCTACCGATCTCAATAGTGATGGGCGCCAAGTTGCAATTTCAATACTCGTCGCTATGATGATCACGATGCTACAGCTGGATCATCCGTTCGAGCTTCCACAACGCACACGCATGATGCAAGTCGCCTTCTCACACACTCGTGTCACTAGAATCTATACACATTGGCTATAACCATCTTCTCTTCTCTTCTTCATGATCGAAACGGTCCAACGTTACTCTTCGCGTGTGAAGTAACTACCAGGCTCCTGGCCCTATAAGTGCTGATATCCGAGGCTGACAACAATTGCCAAACCATCCCCTAGATGATAATCAGCGAGTTCTATAATATATTACATCTCCTCTATTTGAAGCGATTGGTCGACTACGTTTGTATATTATTGTACAATGTATACGAGCGTTGTGTTTCTCTGGTAACTAATACTATCAACGTATGTATGCCCTTGGAAATATTATTGCAGATCGAAAGCGATGAAAAGGCGCTCAACGCTATGATAAATATTAAAATAAGTATCCCAGCCACCAACGAGCGAAACCAGTCGGAAGAGATGAGATGAAACGAATAAGTCACTCGATCCTTTGATCAGAGCATCCTCAAACGCTTCAAAATATCATCATAATTCCGTTGCGTAATCCGCCGTCCCTTCTTCTCCAGTATACAAGCCGTACCATACTGCCTCGAGATGTGATACCGTTTCTCGGCGTCAACAGACGAGGGTCGGTGAAAATCCTCACTCGAGCTCGTTCCCAAAGTACTGGTGCTAGAGGTGTCCAGATCATATGACAATGGGGACTCTTGGCTCTCCTCCATGATAGGAACGAAACAAGCAGCGTTCCTGGGCCCTACACCCACAGACACAGGATGCCCGCCAAAGACGAGCTCAGGGGGCGGAGATTCACCAAACTTGCGGCACAGCCTTGAGAAACGCCTCCGCTTCATTGTTGAAGGAGACAGTGGTGGGGGTGTCAATGGTGACAAGGGTGTTGATGGTGACATGGGTGAATGCGCAGAAGGTACGGTCAAAAAGTTTGAAGCAGATGGCGTGGTTGTAGGAGACGAACTTTCTACCGTGAAAGTGGGAGAGGAATTTGGAAAGTTGAAAGTGATAGAAGAGTGGTATGAGTGAGTGGGTACCGGAAGAGATACGGTCTGTATAGTGGGCAGACTTCGTTGGGACTTGGTATGTCGGCTTCCCAGCTCCTTAACGGTAGGATCCACCGGGTATTGCAGCGCGAGATGCTGCGGATCCAATATCAGAGCAGGAGGCCGATATTTTTTCTTGTGTCGAATAATTTTTTTTGAAGATGTAGAAGGAAGGCTGGGGCAGGGTGCGGGACTCTGACTGTGGCTCTCTTGATGGTCCCGGGGAGGATCCAAACTCTCGAGAGCAAGCCGTACATGCCGAGCTCGTTCAAGATCTGTAGAAGGTATGGTTTCCGGTACGTCATGCCCAGCCTGCTTTGATGAGTCTTGGTCGCGATTCTTAGTAGAAGCAACATTATAGGACTCACAAGAGAATTTCGAACACCCGACATTATAAATGCGCGACTGAAAGTTGAATGCTATTAAAATATAACCGAACAACTTGAAGACCCAACGGCTCAAATGCACTCAGTGCAACACCGTATAAAAAAGGGGGCAAAGGGACGAACGAGAAGTATTCTAGAGAAAACAAAGGAAAGGGAAGAATGCAACTTTGTCTTCGGTGTCGTCGCCATTTATATATCAACGGTGACGACGAACGTAAGTACCCGGTTCATATTTTTTTTTGAACAACTCATCGCCAACGTTAGCAGCGACATCGACAGTCTAAAAAAGGAAAGTCATTACGATCGACTGTCAGTAACCGCACCGCCTTCGAGTAACCGATGTGCAATATGGGCAAGCGTACGCGAAAGAGCGTGCTACCTCTGTCCCATGGGAGATTAGATGCCGGGGATGAATCGACTCGCACTGCAGATCAGGCAGAATCTCGACGACTTGAACGAACACTGCAGCAGTAATTGAATCTCCGTCACGTCGACCCTTTGGTAGTGACTGTATCCCTGCCAGGGACAAGGTCCCCATACCCACCATACAATAACCAGTGACTCAACGAATAAATCACCGAACGACACCACAAATGTCAATAGCGTTTGCCATGGATGCCGAGCCCTGGGATTATCATAGTACCACGGTAGGTTACTAACGTTTGTAGACACATGCTAGCTGGCATATCGATGCTCTCTGGATAAAATCTTGTCCCAGGTTAAATCATTATCATAGAGCGTTCTTTGGTTGCTATACATGTTAAATCTCGCCGAACCACGCTAAAGGTCATGACAATCGATTTAGACGAGTGCAGACTGCAAACTTAGCGGCTTTCAAGTTCAGATTTAGAATCAAGGCACTTAGATGTTCCATCGCACTGTGAACTTGACCTCGGACCGAAGTAGTAGACAAACTCTCACCCGTGACATGTCTGGTTTCTAACGGAGTAGCCTGGCGTCGGCAAAGATACCGGTTTGCAACAAACTATCCCGTGATTCCACGCTTACCCCGGATGTCAGCTAGTGCGGTCGTTCATCAACGTTCCTAGCCCAGGTCAAGCCGCTTCGAACGAACGACTCAGATGCCCGCCAACATGACCTCGACATACCCTTTTGAACCTAGTCCGCCGTGGACGACTGTGAACCCTAAGCCATTCTTGCCTTTTCGCACGCGTTACGGTAGCGAAGAGTTGGAAGCGCCTTCATTACCGTCGCCTCGAAACGAGCCATTCAATGACAATTATATCGTTAGCACCCACCTCGTACCTGCTGGTTGTCCAAGACTCACTCCGGATATCCCATTGCCTGTGGTCCCTAAATTCACGATAAATGCCGCGGAACGGAAACGAGATATCCAGCAGCTTTCCACTGAACTTAGGGAGCGACAAGAGCGCTTCGTGCAGGGAAAGCTAGGCGGAGAAAGAAGCGAGAAGCCGTTATGGAACTGTGTTAACCGATATGTCAAGAGAGTTCAAGATGGGAGGAAGGGCTTGACATTGTTATTCACTCACGCAAATGGTTTTCCCAAAGAGGTACTCATTTATTTGACACAATTCGTGTGTTCAAGAACAGCTATTGAATGTGTTATAGATATGGGAAGCAACCCTACGATATCTATTATCGTCACCTACAGCTTCACTGATTGACGAGGTGTGGTCTTGGGAAGCCGTTCAGCACGGTGATGCTGCACTTGTCAACGAGACAAATCTCAGTGGCATATGTGAGACACCCCACGCACTTCATACATAGGCTGAGGTTAACCTTCGTTTCTAGTTGATTGGCGAGACAACGCGCGGGACATTGCACACTTTCTGTCATACTATCTACCGGAACATACATCTTCAAAGATTTTACCGACGCATCTACAACTTCTGCCGGAGACTATCCGTGAATCCAGGAAGACTAAGGGATTTTCATCCCGCTCCCTGGTCGCCGTTGGTCATTCATTCGGTGGCTGCTCTTCGTATGTTGTCATCGCTAGCGTTTTACTCTGATCTAATATTGACAATATCGGTGCAGGATACTAGCAGCTGTCAATTTCCCTGCACTGTTCTCCTCCATAATTCTTATAGACCCTGTAGCTATTAGCGGTCTCCACTATTCCCATTCCTCTAACTTGATTAGGCTCAATTCCGCTGCCCTTGCTAGGCGCGAACGTTGGCCATCACGGTGAGTCATTATTTCGTGTCAGCGGCTTCTAAGTATTTAAGTAATGTCACAAGTGAGGAGGCATTACGCTCGTTTAAGGCCTCTCCATTCTTCAGAGCGTGGCATCCTGATACCCTGCAGCTATATGTTACATATGGCTTGTGCGAGGATTCACAAGGGGGCGTGAAGCTAAAGATGTCAGCTCTACACGAGGCTTTGGTGTTCGTAGATCATATAGGATCAAATGAAGCATGGGAACTGCTGGAAAAGGTGGACGAGCGAATAGAACTACGTTGGATTGTTCCAGGGAAGCCCGAAGACAAGGGGTGCGTTACCCCCAGCCATAAACTCTGCTCTACTGACGTTCGTTTCAGACTTGCGGGCGAACAAGCAACGAGGGTGCGAGTGTGGCGAAGACCTGCTAACTCATCCAACGTGGTATTTCACTTTGCTGGGCATCTGGTAAGCGGATGTTTTGTGCCCATGTACAAGTCTGATTGAAGCGGCTGTCGCTTAGATCCCACATGAATCACCAGTGGAGCTCGGTAAGTGATTTTTCGTTTTCTACAACAACGTTCACGTCATGATTTTCCTCCAGCCCAAGAAATATCAGCTTTCCTGGAGAAGAAGTACGGGCGACAGAGTAGAGCATACCTATGATATCCTTTGCAGTGATATTGAATTCACCTAGGGTTGTACCAACAATGGACAGGACACAAGCAATACCTGAAACAGACATAGACAGCTGACATTGACATATTTGACTTTCGCTTATGTGTATACAATAGTCTTGTGGAATGACAAGGGCGGGTCATCCTTACGACGGCATTCTTTTGACCTAACCTTCTATGTGAGTTGACTGCTGCTTGAACTGCGTGGGTATCGCTTGACCGCCACTTCCTTGTTCCAGCAGGGTCAGGCACGAATAGCGCAGCTGTGCACTGCATGCTATTCAGGCTGAATAGATCTCGATGCGCGCACCACTCACCTGAGGTCGCACGGAATTTAGCTTGATAGTGCAACGACAGCCTCAGTCTAACAAAAGAGAAGGGGAACAGTCATTCGTTCCATATCATGGCCTCAACCGGACCACACCTTTTACGTCATTAATTTGCCGCATTGCGTTCGGAGTGAATCTACAGGTGCGTCATCAAAGAGGGCGGATGTTCCAGGGTGACCTGGGTGAATGGGAGACCGTCGTGATGAGGGGAAATGGAACACAACAACCAACGTGCCCCAGATATGGCTAAAGAGATCGCCTTTCCCAGTGGATCGCGAGCGTCGCGCGACGCGCGAAACAGCCCTTTTGAACGGTCACACGGAGAATCCTCTTCGTGTGTGCTTCTCTGCTAGTAATTTACGCGCACGTCTGGACCTGCGGCATTCAAGCTCGACAACACGTTCATTGAATATTTCTATTGCTTCCCTGCGCCCATCAGCCTTGTTTACGCGTCGCTTGTCCTCCCCACCCACTTCCCTTTTGCGTTTCGGTCTGTATTCGTGCTTCCTTTCGGCTGAAGGTTTGTGTTTATGGATCCCCTGATCTCCCAAGTCCAATTCCATTTTATCTTCGGAATAGTGATCAAACCGCGTCAGATGCCACTATCATACTAACTAACATTTGTCCCTTTAGATTACACTATCATACAAAGGTCAGTTGCTCAGACTTTTTATCTGTGAGCTCGGAGTCATAGTAACGGGGTACTTGATACTCCTGCTTCTTCTCTCGGACAATCACTAGTATGACTTTGATATATTCTTTTGAGCCGGCGATTCCCCGGTGGATGACAGTCAACCCATGCAATTCCTGCCATTTCGCACGCGCGGCGGAGATTAGAAAAGCCGTCATTGCCGTCCTCTCCTCCGGACGAGCTGTTCAATGGCAATCATATTGTTAGTACCCACTTCCTGTCTGCTGCCGGACATGCCACTGCTCGTGGACCCCGCATTCTAAATGGATGCCTCAGAACAGGGGCGAGACATCCAGTGGCTTGTCGCTTGATGATTTCCTTTTTTTCGGTGCTGGGAGGGTTAGGTGGAGAAAGAAGTAACAAAAATTCAGTTACACCCTCATTCGGAAGTGCGAGCATAGCGAAGACCTGCTAACTCATCTGGTGAATCGCTTTGCTGGCCATCTGGTAAACCGATGTTTAGCAGAAGTAAGTCTTTCGGAACATTGTTGAAGTCACATCACGATGATTTTCCTCTAGTAGCTCTTTGTTGAGCGAAGGTACGGACTGCGGGGCAGTACTTTGCAGTGTCCTGTGCGGTATTGTTTACAGCTGTTTGCATAAATGATGACAGTACACGACTTTTTGGAAAAGAAGAAAAATTAAATATTCTAGTGTGGCACTTCGTCTTGCGCCGCAACAATCAACCGCAATCAACATCGATGTATCAAAAAATCAGTCGCGACGTCAAACTCGCTGCCGTCAAACTCTACGAGCGTCAACACCTTTCTCTTCAGGACATTCTCGCTTGTGTTGGACAACTTGGATTCTCGGAAAGTACTTTCTGGCGTGTCCTTAAACTTTGGCGCAAGACAGGCAACGTTGTTAGCCCCACCTGTAGCCTTCTTGGTTTCTTCATTTCTGAGTATGAATACACTATGAGAGTGTACGAGATCGAGACATTGTGTGGTGGTGGAGGTACTGAGTAAAATCTCACATTCAGGTATTCAAGAATCAATGGTCAATGAACTTCGAACAATTGTACCTTCCTTGGGCTTGGGAGGGCGACCAGGGCCGCGTTTTTCGTTTTCTGGTGATTCTAGTTAGGAGGTGGGTTCCACGACAATTGTTTCATCCCCTGGAGAGATGTCATACTGGTCCCTGACAGCCGCCGTTATCGAATCGTCGTCAGAGTCCATAGAATCAGAGGATATCGAGTTTGTCATTTTCGACTCAATTGTAACTCACATACATGCGGGATGCGTTATTTACTGCTGTGTAAGATTTATTTATTTATTCTTCTTTCTCAAAAAGTCGCGTACTGTCATCATTTATGCAAA